GGAGAGATTGCTGAAACTGCAGCTGTTGAGACGAGGAGGAGTTAGGGTTTGAGCTTTGGGAGGTGCAGAGTAAACGATGGACTAATTCCTTGACTAGATCTAGGAACTTTTGGTCGTCGTCTTCCATGGCCGGCGGATACGGTGGCGGAGGAGAGGCGGTGGTGGGCGGTGGTGGGCGGTGGCGGGGGAAGTGTGTGTGAGTAAAGGTTTTGCCGTTTTGGGGGAAAGAATTTGATTTTTGATTTAATATGGGCGGGGAAATCTATCAATTATAAAAGTCGCGACAGAAAATGCCCCGCCTTCAATAAACTAAATCAACTAAAAGCGTAAAGTTAAGGAGTGAAGGACATGCAGACCTTATTAATAGTTTCCTACCAATTATTAGAAATTGGTAATACGAGCATAAAAAGCATTAAATGGATAGTATCAACTTGTTACTATCTAAATTTGATGGTACACACTATTAGTAATGATCACTACTCCTTCCGCTACTTAATATAAAGCATTTTGATTTGTCCTAAATTTCATATAGTATGTATTTTTAATTAACAAAAAAACCTTAAAAACATTTCATAACAATCACGAGAACACAACGAATGTGAAAATATATTTTTAACGTCTTTTCGATTCAAAATATATACTAGTTAAACTTAGGACAAATCAAAATATCTTATATTAAAGACCGGAAGAAATACTTATCATATTATAATCCATTTGGTCATCATCATTTTACCATCTTATCGGTCATAGATATTTCACGTGATCATTTATATCAAAAACAACAAATAATTATTGGATCACACCGTGATTTGCATCATAATCATCTGCGTTGTTGATTTGCACATAAAAAGAATAAGAAATTAGCTGTGAAATCCCTTTACAGTTCATAAAAGCAAATGACACTTAGGACACGTGTCAACTTCACAAAGTCTTTTTTCTCACCAAAATAAAAAAAACAAAAATACATCTTTTGCAAAAGAAGGATGCCACGTGTATTGTATTCTTCCGGAAAAAAAAATAATATTCCAAATTGTGCAAATATAAATATTCACATTAAACATTTTGCAATTTAAGGGATTTACATTCTGTAAATATAAATCACTCCCTATTTAAAGGGATTTATATCATTTCACATACGGGTCCCCAATTTCAAATAACTACTTCCCAATTTTATCTCCAAATTTATAGCAGGAAATCAAATTTTAATCTTTATCGATCCAGAATCAAATCCTAAAGCCGAATAAAGATCGGGTTTTGTCAGATTTTTTTAGATCTTTTTGTGGAGCGAAAAACCTCTTCATCTTTCCCATCTCTCTCCCCTGCTCCTCCATGCTCCATTGGCAAAGGCCAAATGTATTGTATGGGGATATTGAACATCACCAGAGCAATCATCGAGGTTGTTATCGGCTCTAAACGGGATTATTATCAGCATTTAAATGGGTATAAATCTAATATTTTGCGATTCATGTTTATCAAATATTATTATTATTTTCACTCACTCAAATTCGATTTTTATAGCGGCGTGGAAGGAAATCACTAGTGACCGACAATCTTATATCGATTATCAATCTTTCTACAACCGAGAAAAAAAGAAGCGACCGTAAAAGATGAAGATGATGTGGTGGTTGATTAAGGTCATCCGGAACCGGATCTAAAGCTTTGAGGTCTATTAGATTTTACTCGCCTCCACCTCTGCCACCATAATCGCCACTACCGGCACCACCTCTATAACTCCATTGGCACCTCAGTATCCCCCCTACCTCCGGAAGCTCCATATCCTCCTCCCTCATACCCATCATATCCTCTGTCTTATCCACCACATCCGTCACCTTATTGACTGTACGTATTTATCTTTCAGTTCATAATTATTTATCTTGAACGCTTGCTGTGAAGTTTCTATTCATTTGAGTTTTTTCAGTGAGCAATTCTTATTTTTTGTTAGCAATTCTTTTTGCAGAGTTTATACTTTTAGATCTATTTGAAGCGTACTTAATAAAACACTTTTTTGATGCATGAATGTTTTCTTGGTGACAGATGAATGGGTCAAAATTCAAGAGTATTGTTACTTGATTAATTGCTGCCTTGGTCATATTTCACCTTTTCCTCACCATTCATGTATATTCTTATGCTCTCAGTCATTTTTCACCTTTTCCTCTCCATCCATGTATAATCATCTGCTCTCGAAAAATATGGTAAAGAAGAGGGCGAAGAAGATTAATAGGTCTCAGAATAATGACAAAATATCTATACAGCATGTTCAGTTTTTATCTTTATTGTAATTTGTAAAAATGAGGATTAGATAACGCAGATTTGAAATTTAGATTAATAAGGGTTTGTGGTTCTTGAATGAGGTAAATTATGATATATTATAGTTGCCGGCCTTACTTTTTTCAACAGATGCAAATGCATGAGTTATTAAAAATTTGATTCTTTTGTGTGTAGTTGTATGTTAATTTTGTTTAAAAAAGTGTTCTTGAAATGCTTTTGATTTCTTCTCTCTTAATGATTTGGAGCACCTCATTAAGAAAGAACGGGAAATGGACCTGGAAATATATTTCAAGATCGGTTCATTTGTTATTTTTATTGTCCTTTTGGTTAATGTCTAGGAATTTTGCATTAGTTATTCATTTAGCTTTGATATTTGAGTTGTGCAATGGTGACAGAGATGGTCAAGACTGCAAACTTATTTCCTTTTAGGTTTTGTTTTCTTATGCTGCAGATTACGCGTCTCGATTAAGTTTATTTCCTTTTAGGTTTTGTTTTCTTATGCTGTAGATTAGGCGTCTCGATTAAGTTGTTTCTGATGAAGGTACATTAAGGTAATTTTCACTAACTTTGTGCATTCATATAGTATGTTACAATCGATGAATTTGAAATTTGGTTCAATCAGTTATTTGTGAAATTCGGCTCATCTGTTGACCAATAGTATCATAGAGCAACAACCTGGTGTTTCAAATATTGTGGTTATGATGTCCAACAAGAGAATATTTAATATGTCCTATTCTCCAAGATTTGTTTTTCCATTGTCGGCCTAAGAAGTTAGTGGAACCGGAAGATGATTTCCCAACAAAAAAGCTGCCAGAGCAGGTTTCAAGCAAGCTAGGTAATGCGAGGAAGAAATCCAATAAACATTACACTAAGGACATTCTACAGTAAAACCTCTATAAAATAATACACTTGGGACTCTAAAAATTTATTAAATATAGAGTTATTAATTTATCGATAAATTAATAATTTATTAATATAAAGAGTTTTTTTATCCTATAAATTCAAAATTATAGAAATCTATTTATTTTTCCATAAAAAAGTCGATTGTAACCCTATTTATATTATTCCAATTCTTTTAAGGGAACAAAAAGATGATAATTACAAATATTAAACAATACTTGAGTTAAAATATAAACTAATCTTCTAATTTAACTATTTATTCTAGATATTTATTAATTTATGGAATAGTGGGAACCATATTTATATATGAGATTCTTGAAAAATTATTATCTTATAAATTAATCGAATTTTTATTTTTATTTTTTATACTGGTCCCAAGTTAGGAGCGGAGAAAAATATTATTTAGCGGAGGTTATTAATTAATAGAGGATTAATTTAGGGAGGTTTTACTATATTAGGTTCTCTAAATGGTGTTCCAGAGTTCCCAAGAGTAAATGAACTAGCTAAATTGTTATTTGTTAATTATTATGTTTTGGTTCGGGGATAGTATATTTTTCTGTAGTTACATATCAATTTGTTAAGTAGGGATTGCTCCCGGGCATACAACTAGATTGAAAATATATATATTTGTACAGTGCCACAAGAATGTATAACTCAACTCTTAAATAACTTTTTTGTTGTTATTTTAAATATATAACTTAACTTTTAAATTACTTTTTATTGTTATCGTCAGAAAATTTAATATCATAATAAAGCAACGTCATAAAATATCAGAAAAAAAAAATCGGAAGGCGGCCGCTCGACCTATTGGCCAGGCCAAGCATCTAGTAACAATTACTGAGTTACATGATATTTAACACAACTAGACAATACATTAGTTATCATTACACGACTATATATCTAGATTTGTTTTCCGCAAAATTGCTACATGAGTCATTTCAAAAATATAAGTTCTTATAAATGCCTAGGTGAGCGGCCAAAAAGCATGACTGAGTCTGAATGGGACAGTAAAGTGTGTGTGTTTAAACTGGGAAAAAATAAAGACTGTAAATTGGTGACAGTCACAGTAAAAACAAAAAAATGGAAATGTGTTGACTTTGGACTCTTGCGTGTGGGAGACGTCTAGTCAATTTATATCATCTAAACTAACCCCGCGTTATCCCCCCCTCTTGTAAATTTCAACCCACAACTATTTTGAAAAAGAAACAAAACAAAAAATCTAAAAATAGAATCTTTCATATTTTCTCCATCAATCCGTTGTTTGTACGTAAAATGTTTGGTTTTGACTTTTTTTTTCGTTTACATTGTTTTTTTCCTCCTTTTAAAAAAAATTACATTATCAATTGAGAGCTGAATCTCAACCTGTTGATAACAATTCCAAATATAAAATACTTACCTTTAAACCCTTTTATGAAAATAAAAATACCATTGAATACAATTTATTAAAAAAAAATACATGCTAAAACAATGTGAGTGTTTTTTTTTCCTTTCCAGAGATAACTGCGATAATTACAAATATACTTCGACAAGTTAGTAATTATGACGATATCATAATGCAACTTGAAAAATTTGATGCTTTTGACGATAGAAATCAAATCGTGGAGATTGACTATATAATTTTAAAAGACAAAAGTAGTGTTAATCCAACGGTGAGTAGAGAAAATGCTATATTTTTAATTATTAATTTTTATCTTTTCCAAAGAAGCTATATAAATAAACTTTTGGTTTTGGAGGTTGGTATAAATGAAACTGTTTGAATAAAAAAAAAAGAACCTGTACTTATCAATTACTACTATAGTGTAACCTTGCTTCTTGCACTCCAGTAATGTGACATCCTCACTTAGATTAAGGAGATATTAAGCAAAAACAATTAAGAAAAATAAAGAAAAGACCACAAAAGAAAAAAGAAGAAATGTAGAGCCAAAAAGGGCCATTTATTTTTAATTTATTATATTGGTTTAGAAGCTATAAATAAATGAATTAAGGAGACTATTTTGGTGTTTTGGTTTTGAAACTAGGATGGAGAAGCAGACAAAAGTCCTGCACTACCATCCTAAGTAGAGACAACAATCCGACTTTGGATCTTACTTCTCCCTTTGCTTTTGCCCCCAAATATAAATAATTCCCACATCCAAAGGTAGACTTTTATATGGTTTTGTTTAGAATAGAAAGTTTATTTTGAAAGTTTAGCAATAAGAGTATTATCATTTTTCAAGTGATAAAGATTGGATTTTTATGCTCGGAAAGTTGATAAATCCCTTCCAAATCTCAACTGATTGGGTACGTCTGTTCTTAGGTTTTCCTCTAAATCTTTTGTTGATTTTTTAGGAAAGTCCCCTATACTGTTGTTTCCCAATTCTGGGGTTTTGAACTAATCGATTGTTTTTGACAATGGAATGAATGTGTATTGGAATCTCCGATTTTTCGCAGCTTGGTGTTGCTTCTTGGCTTCTTTGATGAAGAACATGAATTTTTTGCTCTGATTTGGGTTGCGATGATTGGGGAAGTCTTTCATAGCTGGAAAACATTAAAGGGATATCTTTGCTAAACTTTTTTCTTCCTGTTTTAAAGTTATTTTGAGTGCGGAGTTTTTCATCTGACTTGAGCTGTTGATGTGTATGAGGAAAGAAGTTTCTTTTTTGGGATATCTCTTCTGTGAAATTTTTAGTATCCAGTTAGCAAAGAGGGAAAATATTGTGTATTTGGAGGGATAGCTCTGCTATTTTTTGTTCCCTTGTTATTTTTTTCGTGTGCGTGGAGGAGTTTCCATTTAGTTCAAAGGCTGATGTATATTTACAACAAGTGTTTCTGTTGTGACATTTATCTTTTAAAATTTAAGGTGATTGCTGTACCAGTTAGATGAAGATAAAAAGGATTGGTATTTTCCATCTTTGTTTGGTATTCTTATCTATTTTCATTGTTTGATTGATCTTTTCTCAGGATGTGCTGAAAATTTTACTCATGGAATACTGAGGTTGTTTTGTAGGAAAGTGATGTTTTTTCCCCTCCTGTTGAAATATTATAATCTGTTGCAATTTTTGGTATGTGAATGGTTGCTTGCAGCTTCATTGATATTGGCTTGCTGTCAAAGTTATCTGTCTGGAACTGTTGTTCACTTTGGTGGGAATTGGAGAGAACAGTTGATAGGTTATGGGGCTTTCAGGAGTATTAGCCTATTTGATAAAAGATACTTCCACAATTGTGGTCTTCTGGAGAAAATAAATTTGTATTTGTATAGTTTTTTGAATTGTTCGCCTGCATTTTGCCTGTTTTCCTTTCAAGATAGGTTTTTATTATCTTCCCATTGAATATAAGAACTTAGAATGCCACCTCGATCATTCGATTCACGTCAAATCTATGTTGTATATGAAGCGCAGGGTGGAGGTTTTAGCCTAACATATAGTAAATAAATCAGCAAATTTTGCAGGGAATAAATGCTCAATGAGAGATCCTGGCATATTATTGTGCCGTATTCGTAAATTTGAAGAGTTTCTTTATCCATAAAGGTTGAATACTAATCATTGGTTCCATATTTGATTTCCTGAGCGTGTAGGTAGGATAACGTATTTGATACCATTTAAAAAGATAAAGGCCAGTATTTTGCTCTACCAAGTCGATAAGTTAGCAACTTATTGTATTTAGTTTTATGGAATGTTTTGGCTGCGTGTTTGATCTTTTTTTCCTTTTCATTGCATTGAATATGAATAACTTAGGATTCTACTTCTATCATTTGAATTTGCATGCACAATAGTTAAGTATTGAAAAAGTTTGTTAGTTTTTGGAATTATTGAGCTGCATCATACTTTTTCCTTTCAAGGGTAGGTTGATTGTCTTCTCATTGAATATGAAGAACTTAGAAGGCTACAACTATCATTTGGTGGTTTGTGCATAAGTAGTTGTACCAACATGTATAAAGGCTGAGTTCTTTGCCCAACTTAGCTGATAAATGAACAAAATTTTTTCATGGGGAAATGCAGAATCAGATGCTGTTCTTGCTTAGCAGTTAATGTGTCATTGGAAAAGGATGACAAACTAATCATTGGTTGTTATTATTTACATAAAGGGTAGTAGGTACAGGAGAATCTATTAGATACAGATGGTAGTTCAGAAATCCACCTAACCCTTTCCCACATCAAAAAAATTATTTTGGTATGTGAAAACAAATGGTGGAAACCTTAGAAAATTGTGTAAGGGACTAGTCAAGGTTCTTGCTCATTGTCCCCCTTTGAATTATTTTACTAATTCCGATTTTCTATTATCCTGTTGTCCTTCTCAGTGAAATGCAAGTCATAATTGACCATCTAGAACCTATGCTCTTTCAATCATATTTCTTTTGGTCATGGCCAATTTGGTCTTCAAATAGTTCTTTATGCAGACAAAGAGGGGTTTTTCTGAGAAGATAATCACCATCTTTTGTTGGTTTCAGATACTTAGAGATCATATTCTTTTTAAGATATGGCTCCGGGAGGTGGCGGAGTATTCAAAGAAGGAGTTGACTTATCATACCCTAATAAGTCTGTGAACTATGACATATCAATTATCAAGACAGATAAAAGTAGCAGCTCAACAAAATCTAATAAGATTAGTCATGACAAGCATGGAATGTCATCTTCTTTGAATGGCGTGCATGAACTTCTTCAGTGTCCTAGTTGCAAAAATTCAATGTACCCTCCGATTCATCAGGTTTGTTTTGTGCCAAGAACTGATTTCCTTGATGCTTGTTTCAGTAATAGATCTGTGTATGGAAATGAGTCCAGGTTTGATCAATTGTTTGAGATGCATAAATGCATTTTATCTTCTAATGTCTGAATTAAATGTGGTGGTAACTTCTGCATGGATGTGTCATTTATTGGTTTCCATGCTTTATTATGTGTAACATGGATAATATAGACTCGATAGTATAATATCATTTTTGCTGTGGTTTCTTAGAGTCAGTTTTGTATACTTTGCCTTATTTTTGTGCTTTTCATCCACGCTGACATGTACATCTTCGGCTTTCAATATTAGTGGCTTGAAACGGAATGATCATACTGCTACTCTTTGTGTCAGTGAAGCTGCTTTTGGCACAAATTGTTAGTCATTGTTACAGAAAGTTAATTTGTGGTTGTATAATGCTTTGTGGAAATATGAGCTTGGACATTCTCGCTTCTGTTAAACAAACAAATCAAAAAGTGTGGTGAAGTAATGTGATTATAGGCCGATGAATTTGTTATGCAATTAGCTTACTGAAGCTAAATCTTATGACTTTTGTTATTTGTATATTAAAGATAGATGAACATTTTCTTAGCCCTGAAGAATTTTTGGTTTTGCATCTTAATTAGACTCAATGAAGAAGGTTCGTGATAAAACTCGTATGCTATGATCTTCATTGATGTCTGATTTACTAATTTTTCTTTTTTTCTTCAATTTTTTTTTAGTGCCCGAATGGCCATACACTTTGTGTCAACTGCAAAAATAGAGCACATAATACCTGTCCGACTTGCCACTTTGATCTGGGAGATATAAGATGCTTGGCTTTGGAAAAAGTTGCAGAATCCTTGGAGCTCCCTTGCAGATTTCAGAGTCTTGGTTGTCATGATATATTTCCATACTACAGCAAGCTAAAGCATGAACAAAGTTGTCGATTCCGTCCATACAATTGCCCTTATGCAGGATCTGAGTGCACCCTCACTGGCGATATCCCAGCATTGGTAACGCATCTTAAGGATGACCACAAGGTCGACATGCATGATGGGTGTACTTTCAACCATCGTTATGTCAAATCTAATCCACACGAAGTAGAGAATGCAACGTGGATGTTAACGGTAAGTGCATTATCATTATTGCAGATAGTTAAAGCACTATTTTCTAGTTAGCATAGGATTAATTGCTATCGAGGAATCAGGCTAATCATTGGCGGGTAGGAGTTATAAATGATCTGTCTACTTAGACATTTAAGAATGTTAACTATGCAGTATGCATTTTCTCAGATCAATTTATTTTCCATGGTTGAAATTGGACTAGTGTATGTAATGCCTTGAAGAGGAAGTTCTATGATGACCTGGAAGTTCAATTCTAAAAGCTTGCCAAACTAGACCTGTGGGGTTTGTGCATGATGTTTCCTTATCGACTTGTTCTGTTTAGCAGTAGATTGACGTTATGGGAATTTTACTAGAAAAACAACATTACTTATACTACATAATGGGAATGAAATAATGTAGCTTCCTTTAACTATCTGACTAAGATTTTACATATCGTCTGGTGTTTTGATGTAAGTACGAAAAGCATGATTACATATTCTCGAATGAATTTTTAAGTCCATTATGTTCCTTCCCTTTCGTAAACTCCCCTTCCCCCTCCCTGAACCCCAAAGTTCAGTTCATTTTATCATGTAATAAAAGTATTATATGTTTGTAAAAGTCAATCAGTTGCTTGTGTTGTCTCGCTGCAATTTCATCATTTCACTGCTCTGGATAGGTCTTTAACTGTTATGGGAGACAGTTTTGCTTGCACTTCGAGGCGTTTCAGATTGGAATGGCTCCTGTCTACATGGCCTTCCTACGGTTTATGGGCGAGGACAGCGAGGCCAGAAAGTACAGCTACACTCTTGAAGTCGGTGGATATGGCCGGAAGCTAACGTGGCAAGGAGTTCCTAGGAGCATCCGGGATAGTCATAAGAAGGTACGCGACAGTCAAGACGGGCTCGTGATTCCGAGAGGGCTGGCGCTGTTCTTCTCTGGCGGGGATGGTTCGGAGCTTAAGTTGAGGGTTACCGGACGAATTTGGAGGGAATTGTCGATGTAGATGATTAGGCTGATGATGAATGATGATTGTTGTACAGAATCTGATTTTGGCCAATGAGGGTGAAACGGGGAGAATGAATGAAGAGTCAACAAATTCTTATTCTCGAGTTGATTTTGATCCCCCTTTTTTGTGAAATTGGTCATCTGTGTTTTGTTAAAATTTGAAGGGAAAAAGGATAGTGTAAGATATTATAACGATGGTGTATTCTCCCGGGAAACTGGGAAATCGAAATCTAATCGGAAAAAAAAAGAAGATAACATAAGATGCAATTTCTTAACAAAGAATATATATCTTTCTCTTGGGATTAGTCACAAATTTATACTCCTTCTGTCCCAAAATTATTGTCCAGTTTGAGATTTCACTTTTAGTACAATTTGAACTATAAATGAAAACCTAAATAGGATAATAATTATGGGACAGAGGGAGTACCTTTTTAATAGTAATTATTATATAAGTCAAGAGGATGCAATATTTTTATGAACTATACTTGTTGGGAGATAATGGCATAAACTACTGATATTCATATAAGAAATAATTTATTGCAATTTTATTTTGTGTAACAGGGCAGCTACATGAGGTAAAATTAGTACATTAAAATTAAAAATGAAATTAATATAGAGATTTAGCACAATTGTAGAAACAGTTGCAAATAAATTTGCCGAGCTCTCCCCCTGATGTGCAAACTCCATTCCCATTCAAAGTTTCAAAACAGTTCTTCTTGCAAGTTGGAAGATCACAACCATTTGGATCCAATATCCTTCCACATCTTTTCTGGCCCAAAGCTTGAGGAAATGCCATGGTTACTGCAAAATACCAAATAAACAAATATAATTATAAAATGTAATTGATTTTTTTTTTTTTTTTGCACAGAACAGAAAGTTATTAGTTGTTTTGAATAATTTCATTTTTTAAAAAAAGTTGAGTCAAAACACTCATCAGATACATTTAATTAAGGGACCTTTATCTCATTTCTAGATGACAAATGACAAAAAATATTAGGTTAAGAAATGTTTCCTAATTAATGCATCTTCAAAATTACATATGAGAGGAAGAAGAAAACATGAAAGAAAAATGGACAAACCAAGAAGAACAACTGTGAGCAGCCAAAACACTGAGGATGAAAACTTGGCCATCACTATTAATTCTGGAAAAGAAAGATTTTAAAGAAAAATAAGATTAATCAAAGGAGTGCATTTAGGCCATTGATTATAGTGATATTTATAATCCAACAGGAAATAAAGTGGTTGGTGAGATTTTGTTAAATTACTTTTAAGCATTTTTTTTTCATGAAAATAGATCTTAATCCTGGAATCATAAACTACTAACCAAAAAACTTCTTTTTTTAAAAAAAAAATTAAAAAATGAATTGTGAGCATTTATCTTATTACAAGTACAACAGTTGGCATTAAGGGAGGAAATTGGTTACTCATTGAATACTCAATCTTTTTATTTATTTATTTTTTCAAATTTTAGTTAGTTGTTTATGGAGTGTTAGTACTCAAGAATGGATAGCAGGATTGTATAATAATTACTTACTATGTTTTCAAAAATAAAAAGGTATAAAATTAATTACCTACTAAAACTATTGTTACAATATTTATCCCACAATTGTTTTCTAAAAAAGAGATCATGGTTTACTAGAGTATGTTCGTCTTATGTCACGAGTCACTAACAAGAGAAATCCTACTCAATAAAAAAATAGAAAATTACACGCATTTTTAAAAATTATTTATTAGATAATTTGAGTAGTTAATTAGAATTCGTATCATGTTGATTTTTTTCTTTGACCAAGGAAATTGATCTGTTGATGGCTGGTGTAGGATTATAAAACTTTGAATCACTTGGGAATTTATTCCTTGATTAGAGAAGTCGATCAAAAAGTCATACTCTCTCCGTCCCATAATTATTGTCCAGTTTGGATTTTCATTTCTAGTTCAAATTGTACTAAAAATGAAATCTCAAACTTGACAATAATTTTGGGATAGAGAGAGTATATGTAAATCGACTTGTTTGTCCAAACGAGAAATATCTTGTTAATAATGTGAATAAATTGCATCTCTCATCATTTTCAGCTCTCCAATTAAATTCCATTTCTTTTTCTTCTGGAATTCTGAAACCTTCGCCAGTTTATATATACTCCTTTCGTCTCATAATTATTGTCCAGTTTGGTTTTTTATTTCTAGTTTAAATTGTACTAGAAGTGAAATCTCAAACTGGATAATAATTTTGGGACAGAGGGAGTATATATATATGTTCAATTGGCTTTGGTTGGAATTCACTTGTCTTTGCATGCTCTCACAAATTCAATTCTGTTATTTGTATTCATTAATGTTTGTCAACTTCGACACCATATTTTCTCTACTGATCATTGTATCGGAAAAATTCCTCAATAAATTCATAATGGTCTATATCCTTATCATCATTTCAGGATTCACTCAAACGTAACTAGATAAATTTATCAATTCAATGTTGCCAATAATTGCCAATTGATAATATGAGAAGCACCGTCACAACCTTTACGCACCATCACAAAAATATTATTATGAAAACAAGATTAACATAAAAAGGAAGATAATTTCACACTAAAAATAAAAAAAATAAAAGGAAGATAATTGAGACAGTGAATTAACGTGGTAGAAAATATGCGACATATGTAACCTTGTATAATTATTGTAATGTGTCTGATTTTATTGCATATCTTTTATTTAATGTTTCTTATTCATACATATAATGTTTCTTATTTTACTAACGTTTTTTTTTTTTTTTTATCTCTATCGTTGCTCTTTAAAAATATGAATCGATTTGTTGCATATATTTTATTTAATTCCAAATGGAATAGGTACGTGCATATAGAAATACAAAATTCTATAAAAAAATGTATTCATTTCATTCATATAAATTTGCCCCGAAGATTTTCTTTCCTTATTACAAAATAAAATTGGGTAATTAATGTGAATGGGAACACATTATTTTATAAATTTAGCAATTGTAGAAACATTTGCAAACAAAATTCCCAATTACTCCAGCAGAGATGCAAGCCCCATTCCCATTGTGTTCTTGCAAGCATTGTTGTCGGCAAGCTGAAAGATCACAATCACTTGGATTCAACACCACTTCGCATCTCTTTTGTCCCCAAGCTTGAGGGACTCCCATCATGCTAACTGCAACCAAAACCCAAAACAAAAAAAAAAGAAGAAGAAATTCAAGTCGCAAAAATATACACACACTGAAGTGATTATTACATGTAACACATGAATATAGGTTATCCATACATGTATATATGGCTACTGTTTTGGTTTCTTATTCTTTCATTACCAGACCGAGAACGTTTATGAATAAAATATATGGTTGGTTACTCGTGACAAAATAACATAAAAAAGATTACTAAATGACTTCTAAAAAACGTTAGTATACTTGCTTTTTCTATGACAAACGAAAAAGGAAAAGAAGATTTTCAAGTGAAAGAAAATGGACAAACCTAAAAGAACAATAGTGAGGAGCCAAAACAAGGAGGATGAGAATGTTGCCATATCTCTATGATCACAGGAAAACAAGGACCGCTGAACAAAATAAGGTCAATTGAGAGGAAAATGATGTGGAAAATGGAGGAGAGATAGTGCTATTTATAACCCAAAATATATTAGAGAAAAAGGTTGGTGAGATTTTTTTTCTTCAATTACATTTACTCACAGACCTAAATAACTTTCAATTATTTACGACTATTAGATATTCTGTAAAAGTCAAAATTTTTGTAATAATTTAGGTGCTTGTAATAGTGTGTATTAAATAAAAAAAATATTTTGTAAAAGCTTAATAAATTTGACACGAGTTATCCCAATTTGTTATGGATTAAGAGATATGCTTTGCGCTTAGCAAATACTGAGGGAATCATTTACTTTCTCTATTTCAATTTGTAGGTCATTTTATGTTTGGAGAGATTTTTCAAAATGTAGGTTGTTTTACAAATTCTAGGCAAATTAATGACTATTTTTCCAACTTTATCCTTAATAAATATACTAATCTATTTTTATTTAGTTTTATTTATAGTTTCATTGTAATTAATAAGGGGTAAAACAGATATTTAGCACATAAATTAATTGTTGAATGATTGTTTCCTTAGTTTACTTGCAAAGTCTAAAGTGACTTATATTTTGAAATGGAGGGAGTATCTCAAATTGGTTATCATTTAGTAATTATCGTTTGATTTCATATTTATTTTATAAAGTTGAAATGTTTCCTCTTCTCAAAATAAAAAAAACAAAATAAAGAAAAAAGAGATTTGGCTCCCTTGTTGCAAACTCATTTGTGATTATTATTACTAGGTGTTAGACCCGTCCGATGGACGGGGAAGATATACACATTTAGACATTTTTATATAAATTTTGTATTTTTATAAAATATGTAATGATTTCAGTTTTAAACATGATTATCTCTGGGTTTACAGGAATTTGTTTTTTTTAAATGACATTTTAAATTTACTGGTGACAAGGTTTATGCAGATCTCTCTAAAATTTGTTAGGATTTGGTACTCTCTCCAACCAATCTCTGTGTTAGGATTTGGTTCATGAAAATAAGGGTTCGGTTTTTATTATTTTATTTTTTTAAAAAATTATTTTAGTTGTTTTTTTTTTTGGTTTTATTATTTTATTTTATGTATTTTTAAGTCTAAGAAATTAAAAAAGTGCAACATAGGATTAAATCCTATGTGGCATGTGCTCCATGCCTTTAGTTTTCTCTCTCTGGTTTTTGCCTTAGTATAGTATATAAATTTTATTAAATTTTATACAGTTCAAAATGAAGTCGTCATAGTCTCAAATATTTGTTGTTACTTCTTGAATAAAACTCAATCATAGTCTCAAATATTTGTTGTTACTTCTTGAATAAAACTCAATTCATTCTAAATAATATCCCTTCGTCCCCATATTAATTAGTTTGCTTTGTTATTACTCTCCTTGAATTTATATATTGAATTTTCAGATTTGTATTGTATTCAATATAAATTTTAAAAATTAATATGAACTAATTTTTTTTATAGAACAGAAATAATATTTAACAATGTAGACTATTGAAAGCATCTATTAGAGTTGCATGGACGGCTTACCAAATTTAACGTGGGAAAGTGTAATTAAAATTAAGAATTATGTTATGTTCTAGCCAGAGGACGTGCATGCAAGATCAAGGTTGCCACGAAGGGTAGGTTGGTGCCCCATTGACGATGATTCACATTTTCTTTTCCCTGTAAATTAATATTGAAATTAATTAATTAACATAATAATGATAAAAATACAACTATAAATATAGTTTCGATGGTCAAAAACACTCCAGCGGCTTTCCCGCGAAGCACAAATTGTGGTTTTTCATTTCTCCAGAACTTGTTTTTTTTTTTTTTTCCCTTTGTTATCCCAAAAGAAAAATCTAAGAGCTGAGAGACGAGAAAGAAAAGAAAATACATTTTCTGAGATTTCTTCCTCCTCCTCCTCCTCCTCTTCCCCCTTTTCCAGTTTTTTAATTTTTTTTTTGCAGAAAAGGGTTTATTTTCGTAGTCTTTGATTCAGAAGGATTATTTTGGTACGTTACGTTCTTTTTTTTTTTTTTTGGGTTAATTTTTGTATAACACAATTCGAAAATGCAACCTTCCTAGAAGATTTTCAATTTTGATTTGAATTCCGCTGTCCTTTTTGTTTGCATGATTCTTCCCAACCTGAGAAATTGTAATAAGATGAAATAAATTTCTTGGATGTTCCGAGAATTTTATCATCATTTATTTATGCCTTCCTGGGGGCATTTTTCAGGTTTATAATGGTGACAATATGTTAGTGTTGTTGAAATTATAAATGAGCTTTTAATTTGTCATCATTTTAATTTCTTTGATTCATTTTTTTTATGCACCCTTTCATTTGGTTATCGATTGATTTCCATCTTGTTTGGATAATGCAGGGTGATTCATCATCAACCTTGGTGAAACTATACCTATATATATATATATTGTATGTATATAGGTTGATCATTTGTAATCCAAACAATTTTGATGCAGTCAGATTAGAAGGGCTTTCACTGAGATTGCTTCTGTCCAACCTTTTAAAAGGAAAAGAGAAAAAAAAAAATGTTGTGTTGTGGGGGTGCAGAGGAGGAAAATGTCACCGGTCCACCGGCAAACAATTACACCGCTCCTCCTAGAGCTGGTAACCCTTATGGTGGCGGTGCCGGTGGAGGTAATTTCCTTTCTTTCTTCTTCTTCTATAAGTGCATATTATAAGAGTGATGATCAATTTAACAGAAAATAATACAATTTCAATCATTTTGTTGTTTATGCTCTTGTGGCATTTGTTAGGCTGCTGCTTCTAGCATTTAAATTGTAGAAAGAAGCAAATATGGGTAAGGGGAGAAAGCTGAAAAGAAAATTGTGATTTGGTTTCAGGCAGTGAAAGATCAGGAGATCCAAGAGGGGTTAGTGCAGTAAGAGGTGGAGCTCCCCAGAAAGTGTTACCCATTGAGACACCAGCTTTGTCTTTGGATGAGCTAGATAGGTTGACTGGCAAATTCGGAAACAAAGCTTTGATAGGAGAAGGTTCTTATGGAAGGGTATATATGGCTACTTTGAGCAGTGGGCAGACTGTAGCAATCAAAAAGTTGGATACAGGTACTTCACCAGAGCCAGATTCCGATTTCGCAGCCCAGGTGAGATATTCTGTCACCAACGGAGACTTTTCTCACCTTCCCCTCCCAACTTTTCCATAGTAAAACATGACTTGAACTGTAAAGGAACTATTAAGAAAGTCATGATTTGTTGGAATAACTACACATAGGCGGGGATGAATGCATATTTGTTACTAAGCTGTCTTATCTTGTAATCGAAATGAACATAAAACCTTTCTTCTGTATGCAGCTATCTACGGTTTCAAGGCTTAAACATGAGCATTTTGTCGGGTTGCTCGGGTATTGCCTAGAAGGAAACAATAGAATCTTGGCATATGAGTATGCAACGATGGGTTCTTTACATGATGTACTACATGGTAGGAACATACTGATACTAAAAGAATTTGAACAATGTAAAGCTGTTTTGTCTTGAGACGTGCATTCTTATTGCAACTGTTGTCTTCAAATGTTTTAGGTCGGAAAGGTGTACAGGGAGCCGAACCTGGTCCAGTCCTCAACTGGAATCAGCGAGTTAAGATTGCATATGGTGCAGCAAAAGGACTGGAGTATCTGCACGAGAAGGTTCAACCACCTATTGTTCACCGCGATGTAAGATCCAGCAATGTGCTTCTGTTTGATGATTTTGTGTCCAAAATTGCCGATTTCAACTTGGGGAACCAGTCATCCGATACTGCTGCCCGGCTGCATTCAACAAGAGTCTTGGGTACATTTGGTTATCATGCTCCAGAGTAAGCACAGACAGGTTTTTCAACAAGATATGAAGGATCCGGTCTCACCTAATTGAGAGCTCATGTGGTCTTTTATCCTTATTTCAGATATGCCATGACAGGACAGATTACACAAAAGAGTGATGTTTACAGTTTTGGAGTTGTTCTTCTGGAGCTTCTAACGGGGAGGAAACCAGTCGACCACACGATGCCCAAAGGACAGCAGAGTTTGGTCACTTGGGTATATTGCTGCATTGCTTAAAACTTTTCTTCATTACGTTTCATTAATTTTCCTCCAAAACACCATCTCAAATCACAGACGTCCTGCAGGCAACACCAAGATTGAGTGAAGACAAGGTGAAACAATGTGTGGATCCGAAACTAAATAACCAATACCCACCAAAGGCTATTGCCAAGGTCCCTTCAGATTCTGTCTCTTTCTGTTTGAACTTTACATTAGTGAAAAGAAGTAGCGAAAGAAGAACAAGAGTTCTGAGAGTTGTAAGTTCTCATTTTCTTCAATTTTGCAGATGGCAGCTGTTGCAGCTCTTTGTGTGCAGTATGAGGCGGATTTCAGGCCGAACATGACAATTGTTGTCAAGGCTTTGCAGCCACTTCTTAACTCAAAACCTGCAGCCCCCGAATCTCAAGCGTAACTTTCTGTAAATTAAGTAAAGAGTTGCAGAATTACACTGATAATAACATTGCAGTTCCTTAAATACTCCCCCGTGCTTGAATGCCGATGGTTACGGTGTTAGAAATGCGTCTTACGGTTAGTAGTACATACTACTATTATCTGCTACAATTCTCTCCAGAAACCTGTTGCTAAATGTGTTGAAGATGAACACTTCGTAACCTTTCCTGAAGCAACAGGAATGTGTACAATTAGAACTTAGATGCTATTTATGTTACCTTACTAATAATATACCAACCTTCTCTGTGTTACTAAAGAGTTTGACGGTCTACATCTTCCTCAGAGATTCTATCCTTGCCTAATTATCTTCAATAAGATCAAATAAACATAAGCTGAGTAGCTGACAAAACAATCCAAATAAAAGATTAGCATATTTATTGAGGGAAAAACCGCCTCCGCAAAATCAGCAAAATCTACTCTTAAACCGTACTGAGAATCAAGAACAATGAAGATGATTTCTTGATCGATCTTCTTCCCTGGTATTTCTATCTTAACAGAACATTCTTAAATAAACCACATAGAGTTATTGGGAATTATCATTGATGACATAATCTTCAAGATAATCAGTTTCCAGCTGGATCTATACTTTGTTCTTGATTCAAAACATAAAGAAACAGGCATGAAACTAACAAGAACACTATTATGTCAAAACTTTTCAACAGCCACAAATACATCTATATTTTTACCTTTCTATAAACTGCTAGCAGCAGATAATTCCTCTTTACGCAGGAAATTTCTTTGAAATGGAACAATATGTAGTACAGGTGCAACTAAAATGCAAGGATAGAAAGACAAAGGTTGATGGCACCTGCAAGAGGACACCAAAAGATTCAACTATCTTCACATTTCATAAACCATTTTATCTAGGCGGTGGAGGTGCAGGAATTATCCCCCATTTTCGCCGCACATCTTCCAAATCCTCATCAAAGTGCCGCTCGTAATAAACACACATTAGATCAGTGCATTGCATGCCAGCCTTGAGGGCCCAAGGAAAGTAATGTTGGTAAAACAACCTTCTCTGCCGTTCGCTAAATCTAGCTGTACCTCCAGCCACTGACATTAGGCACATGGGGAGCATCATTTGTTCAAACTCTATCACCTTAAGAGCTGATTCACCAATTAAATTGGTGGGAAGCTCAAATAAGGTATGCCAAAAATCGTGCACCTCACGAGCGCGCATGGCAACATAAGCCAGCTCTTCTGTGTCCATAAATCTCACTGGTGGTCGATCATCTGGAGAGAAATTTCTAGATCCCATAAATTTAGCATATGCGGCACCAAACGTGTTAGGAGGCAGGTCCCACGCATGGCCCACTTCAGACGATATGACACGAGGACGCACAGCCAGAATAGCTCTACCTTCCGGACTCCTCTTCATCCTTTCAAGAACCCTTTCAAAAGCAGGTCTTCCAGTTGTCTCCCCTAAAGCAGCAATCAGATCCGCTCGTCGAGGGTCCAGTAATGCCCCTACCGCTGAGCCAACAGCAACTGCAGCCCTCTGCCAGCCATTAAGCTGGATGCGCACAACTTTTTCTATCATCTCAAACTTCGACACAAGCAAACTTCCGTACACTTACTTACAAGTGTAAGTATTCTTCCGAGCAAACAAAGCAACACGAAGAAGATTACACCTGAGAAAATTTAATGAATCAAAATAAAAGCCAGGGAGAGACAGCCAGAAGCAGTTCCAGAGTCTGATTTGATGAAACAAGATACATCAAAGAAACGAAAGGAATGAAACAGATTTTCATCATATAATAAAAGTGAATATAGAAGATCTAAGATTCCATGGAAAAAAACCCACAATCTTTCTTCTTCGAATATGAAAAAGGAAAACATCCAAACCCAAGTGTCGTAAAAAAACAGATATTCGAAGATATAAGTCTAGAGTGTAAGATTAAGGCGACAGGACTCAATTACATTACATGAAATCAGCTGTATCTAAGCTACGGATCATTGGAAAAAAACCTCACTCTTCCATATTTTGAGGCAACGAGAAAGCTTTCACTCGAAAAGAACCGACTTGTATTACCCTCAGTCCCGAATTTTTTACGCAAACAACCAACTTGAGAATAACATTGCAGAAAAAAGAATTCCTTCAATGCATCAGCTATTCCTAGAAGCTCCCAGTAACCGTACAAATAAACCCTCCCCTCTTACATCATCACACGTTAACCTCAACGTTCCGAGTGAAAACAACAGAACATACAGAGTGCAAAGAATTTATTCTTCGCGAAAAAACAATTCAATTACAAACGGAAAAAGAATCAAATTATGCAGGCCAACAGCAATAGAGAGTAATAGCGAATTCGTTCTTCTCCCGAACAATACCTTCAGAAAAAATAACCCCACACCCGATTGAAAAAGAACGGAGAAACGATTGAAAAAAAAGTTACGCGTCTTACGTAATTCCTCGGGCTCCAGGAAGCAAACCAATCGAGGAAGGAAAACCGCCGGTGAGGCGAGAAGAATTTTGTTCGGAGTCCGGACTCGTCTTTGATCGCCGTTGGGTCTTTTTTTGATCCTGGAAGTAAAAGGGCAGAAGAAAGACGAGTGTTTCAATTATGGGCTCACGGCCCATAATAATGGGCTGTATCTGGATGAAATTAAACCTGGCCCAAAGAAGGACTCATCCTATTCGACCGATTCATTCTGACAAAAAGAGACGGTTGACGGCGTCGTTTTGGTCGGGAGAACGAGTGTATTTTTGAGAGAAAAACCCACACAAGAGAAGAAGAAATCAATCATGGAGTGGATGAAGATGATGAATCCTGAAGAAGAGGAAGAAATATGGAACAAAGAAACGGTACCAAAAGTGATGAAGATAGTGTGTACATGCAGCAAGCTTCCACAAAGGGACATCGTTTCTCTGCTCTTAGTCAGCCCCTGGGTTTATCGCTACCTCATCTCTCACCCTTATCTCTGGTTGGTTAGTATTCATTTGATTTCCACTTCCTCATTTGGAAGGTATTTCATGGATGATTTGTTTTATTCCTGTTTGATCGCCATTTTCTTTTCTCTGGTCATTGGATGTACTGATGCATGATGGTGTTTGATTTCTTACTTTCTATTTTTGGTGGTTTAGCTAGACCATTGTCTTTTTAGTTACGGGCTTCGTGTGTTATTAGGGACTTGAACTTCGTGAAATTAACCGTGCTGGGGATCGTCTTGTGGCAGCTCTTTCCCTGGTGAGTTAGCTTCCGTACCTGCTTTTTCTATGCATGTGTGAATTGCTTCTAGTTCGAAAACCATGGGAAAGAAGGAAAAAAATGAAGAGATTTTGTTCTGATTATCAAGGGGTATTTGTTGGTGGTCTCGAGTTAATAGAATTGGTTCTTTTTGCAGGAGAGATATCATAATGTGAAGTACATCAACCTCGAATTTGCCCAAGATCTTGAAGATAAGCATTTTGAAATTATGAAGAAAAAGGTAATCCTAAGCTTCAGGAATTACTCTTCCCTTTTGGCCCCCTGTTTAGGAAGATTTTGGTAGCTGTTGGAGAATGAATATGCGATTCCACTGGTGATGCACTTGACATTTGTTTTCTTTAAAATTGGTCTTTTCTTTATCACCATGTTCTTTTATGTCTTTTTTGAAAGTTATATTGCAAGTGAAGCTGTTCTTGGAAGTTTGGTTCTAATAACTGACAGAATAAATAGTATTCACATAATATTTATTTTCTTTGCTTAAAAGATTTTTTCAGCATCTATTTTATTTGCATTCTCTCTACTGATTCAACTCAGCATATGATCTACTTCTTTCAAAGTAACAAGATAGTTACACTGTTGTACTGTGTCCTCGTGTATTATTCTTGAAACATCTTAAAATGTAGAAATGGATCCAAGAATAAGTTATTTTAGTAAAGCTATGTTTAGTTGGGTTGTTTGGGTTCTGATAGTACTGTTCCAGTGAGTATGTTATCAAATGTGAAGTTCTGATAGTAATATTTCTGTTTTTGCAGTGTGCAGATTCCTTAAAGAGTCTAGAATCATTGAACCTTAATAGCTGTCAGAAGATTTCTGATAAAGGAATTGACTTAATTACAAGTATCTGTCCAAAACTTACAGCTTTCTCCCTGTATTGGAATGTCAGGTACTTAAGCCTTTATTTTTATTTTTAAAGTAAATAATGTTCTCTTTTACTGGGTGGTATTTTCCCCCAGTCCAACGGTAGCTGAATCATCTCCATAATCTTGTCTTATATTTTTTCTTTCAGGGTTACAGATACTGGAATAAAGAGTTTGGTGAAGAATTGTAGATTTATAACAGATTTGAACTTGAGTGGGTGTAAGGTACTGTATGTGGAAACAGAGATTCCCATTCTTCTGTCATGCAGCTGTATCATTTTCCTGATATCTAATTATGTGCTGTTGTCCTATCTTTTATGTGGATCACCTTTGTGTAGAAGTATCCTGTTGGTTAATTATAGTTTTATCACCAATGGTACTAAACTTTTTTGTTGTGAGAAATCTTATTTGGGCTGCTTTTTCTTGTCAACTACAGCATATTACAGACGAAAGTTTGTACTTAATTGCCAACAATTATCTAGATCTGGAATCATTAAATATTACCAGGTATGGAGTTTAGTTTTCATTACATGGAAGATACCAGGACGAAATTTAGTGTCTCATGATTTGATTGAAACCTGTTCATATGTTTTGGAATGTCATTAGGTGTGTCAAGCTAACGGATGGCGGTTTACAACAAATACTACTTCAGTGCTCTTCTCTTCAAAGTTTGAATCTTTATGCCCTTTCCAGGTACTTAGATTTTACTTGAAATCTAATAGGATATGAAGATGGTACTTCTTTTCAGTGCTTGACGTGCAAATTCAGTAAATTGCTTTTATTTTTTTGGTTAGCTTTACAGATGAAGCATACAAAAAGATTTCGAACTTGTCCCATCTAAGATTCTTTGACCTCTGTGGGGCCCAGGTATTCTATGATTTACATGTCAAATAGAACTACTTGTAGTATTTCAAAGTTAAAAGCTTGTCAAGATGTAGATCTGACTGCATTTTTATATGTTAGAATCTATCAGATGAGGGGCTTTGTTGTATAGCCAACTGCAAAAAGCTAGTTTCCCTGAATTTGACGTGGTAAGTGGTAACCATGCATCTTGGCTAATTGCATCTACTTTTACTACTTCGTAGGACTAATGTTTTCGTATTTAGGTGTGTACGTGTGACAGATGTAGGAGTGATTGCTATTGCTGAAAACTGCACATCCCTCGAACTTTTAAGGTAAACTGGTGGGATAAAGTTGCTGGAATTGCCGATTTCATCTGTTTGATTAGTCTTCTGTCCTCTGTTTGTTCTTTATTGTGGCGTTAGTCTTGCTCGATACTCACTCGCGCTTTTGGAGGCATGCTCTTAGTAATTCAAGATAGACTTACAGATCAATGAACGGTTGCAAAATATATCATTTTTAAGTTCTTATCTTAATCGTATTATCTTGTTGCATTGCATTCTACTTTGTGTCTTTGGAACTTTGGTGGAAGGAGTAGTCTTGACTTTTTGGATTTTGTCACAGTTTGTTTGGGATAGTTGGGGTGACTGATAAATGCCTGGAGTGGCTGTCCAGATTCTGCTCAAATACACTTACAACCCTAGATGTGAATGGGTGCATTGGCATAAAGGTGAGGTTTGATTAGGCAGTCTTTTTTTTTTTTTTTAAAAAAAAGAAAACTGTCCCTGGTGTTTGTTTATTTGTCATTAGCTAAGGATCTGCACTTCTTCTGTTGCAGAGACGGTCACGGACAGAACTGCTGCAGTTGTTCCCAAAGCTGGAATGCTTCAAAGTACATAGCTAAGCTTAAAATATTGATGGAGCTGTTACAACAGCATCATCATGATGCCGACGGGCTCTGGCGCTCTGCTCGTGGTGATTGATTGTTGAAGAATGACGGCCCTATCTAAATCATCACAAAGCATTTGAACAGCATAACTGAGGGACTTCTGGGGACTGATAATATCATGCCCCAAACATGAAGATCCATTGTTGTTTTAGTGTAACTGTGTTGTATTAATCTTCCTGCAGATTTTTTAATTTCATATTGTTCTTGGGGAACATGTTAGGGGTTTTACGTAAAGTAAGAATTTTTGTATTGTTGGGAACGCTAGGGGTCTCGGACATGAAGGCTAGTTGATTTTTGTACCTCAACCAAACCTTTTGAAGTAACTATGCATATGTTATCTTTCAAATCTTTTTGGGGAGCATTCGGTTCCGTAGGCGAAGACTGAATTTTCAAAGCAAAATTTTAACTTCTAGTAAAAAGAGTAAAAGACCACATTACAGAGCAAGAAATCCTAGATAACGCAGACAAGACTTGATATAAGAAGCCAAACTGAGATCCCTGCAACAGTGACTGAGTTGAGCCATCTCTTTACATGGTTTTTGGAACTTGAACTTGGAGTGGAACTTGAATATGAAGAGCTGCCTGTACAAGACAACAAAGAGGCTAAATGAACACCAACTTCAAACCACACCAAATAATACTAATACTATTTAGTATCCATGATCTTGATCTTACCACTTGTAGTAATACTGCTGGAATTTCCAAGCACATTGTCATAGGATTGCTTGAAAATCTGTGCTTCTGGTGATTGAGGATCCATATTCAGAAAATCTGCAAATCAAATCAAAGCAAGCTAGTGATGTTACCAGAAACTAGGGGTGGCAATTTGTGATAAGGAAATCAAGTGACTGAAAATTTACACATTAATAATAGCACAAACTCGAATGCCACATATATGTATGGGCGCGAGATAAAATGACACGACCTAATTGACACCTCTATTAGAAAACACGAGAAGGGCAAAAAAGTAGCTGAGGTTGCAGTGACATTTACCAATGCATTGTGTGACATTATTTGGAATGCGACAGATGGAAGGAAGACCTAGCGCAAGTGTAGCATTCACCTTAATCCCGAAGCCGGGTTCATTTCTGTCCTTCACAGCCATACACAAACACCTCCTCTTTTGATCATACTTATCTCCAAGATTAATGCAACAAATTGGAGTTGGAAACTTACTTTGCTCGCTTAAAAACGGTAAACATGGAGATATACTTAGTAGTTGGTTTTGGCATTCTTTCTTGTCCTCTGCAAAATCACTGCTCACATTGCTAGCAATCATCATCAAAACTAGTATGATGATCATCATCCTAACACAAACATTCATCTTTGCCATTAATCAGTTTCTAAGAGGCAAGATTTAGGATTTCATCCACTTGTTCCCATACATATATATATACTCGTTTGCGCGAATGCATACGGATTAAACTATGGATTTTAATGAAGTAGGAGTTGGGAGATTGCTATCCGCGGAGAAACTTGTGGAGGCCTATTTTTGACATTTTGGCTGTTGATGTTATCATTTGTAGCAAGTTGAACTAAGCTTACAAGTACAAGATATGCCAGCTAGCTAGTTCTGGAGATCAGTGTTTCTAGCTTCTTCATTTTCAGATAATGTTATTTGATGAACTTCATGTTTCACCCTTGTATCCAAGACTAGTTTGTTTGCTCATAACCACAATAATGGTTTATCAAACGAGTCATTGCCCAAAATTTTGTTCATAATTGACACTCAATCCACCTTACTCTTTCCTTCTAAATCTCTCCTGTTTTGTGTTTTATTTTTCTTAAGAACACGTATCTAGACTATTAGACATGTAGAGTTTATCAAATATACTTTCTCTCTAATCTAAAATAGTCGTTCGAAGTAGATTTTTACTTTGAGTATGATTCATAATGTAAATGAAAATCTAAATTGGACAATCAATTCGGAACAGAGAGAATTTTAGTTAGCTAGAAAAAACTTTAACTATGCATCTTTTGATCAAGAATTCCAATTACTACTAACTTAAATTCTGCAAGCAGCATTTCGGGAATTTATCATATATATACAATTGCATGTTTGACAACAATTAGAATCGGACCGGTTTAGTAGTAAGTATTAATAGAATCGAGCAGGCTTACAAGGAAGTATTTGGACTAGTTGGTTCTTGTCTTTGACGCATTATTGCTTACGTGGAACTGGAAGTAAGTTTGACTAAGCCCAACATGACAGAAACATCAGCAACTAAGGAGAAACTGCATATGCAGCTAGTTTGCTGGTTTTGTAAAACTACTTTTCTCTTTGATTTTGACGCTAAATCGTTTAAAACTTTAGCATTTTACTTGTAAATATTTGGTTGGAAAAATTTAACGATGGAAATGGTTTAAATTTCAAGGTTGAACTCTGCCTCTTCAGAACATCTTTGCAGTAAATTTGGTGATTGATCAATGAAATTATCTTCAACAAGTCTAATGATGCAGAAAGACGTTGACTTTACAAGTTATCGTGGATTGAATAAGTTCACTAAAATAAAAACGCTGAAGGTGTAGCTGTTTATGGTAAATGGTTATGTATAGAGATCACTCATAGAAATAGCTATAATCAGTTGGCTTGAAATGATGAGAAACAGAGAAGAAGGACCATTATGGCGCCAATTGCCGCAATTACCTACTCCTTCTCTTTCCCAAAATTATTATCCAATTTCGTTTTTCATTTTTAGTTTAATTTGTACAAAAAATAAAAATTCACACTGGACAATAATTTTGGGACGTAGAGTACATATTATCAACTCTTGACCGTTGATCGATCAGGAACAAGTGGCTAATTAAGCAAGAGAGTACGTTTTCCATGCATCTGGATATTATATTTCTGACACGAATCTAACTCGAAATAATTTACTGAATGAATGAATAACGGTGGATAATCTTCTGACGGGTCTTGATGGTGCGTTTCCAGAGGAAGTACCAATGATTGATAAACACTCATTAGAGAAGCAAAAAAACGTTTCTTTAGTAATTGTTTCATTGTAATCTGGAAGTAGTTTTGTGTTTTTCTGATCATGCAGGGATGTTTTTGGTTGTTGCCTTAGGACAAGGGAAAAAATTCTTGTGGGAGTTCAAAGTAGAAAGGAATGCTTCAGCTGATCATGAATCCTTATAAATTATGATATCTTATAGGGCTACTTCCGTTCCATTTTAATAAATCATTTTGTCGATATAACTATTAGAGATTTTAGTTGAGAGAATAAGAGAGAATTGAGATAAGGAGAATGAGAGAGGAGTGGCCTTGACATATAAAAGTTAAGCAGTGGGGGAACTAGCATCCAAACACCCGCAGGAGCTCCGTTCCGTGGCCAACAGACTAGGAACTAATGCATGGATTAGATGTTGGGAAAAAAATTAGAGTTTTTTTTTTATGAGGGTTATAAGCATTTTGGAGTTTTTTTAATGTTTCAACCAGCATAACCTCATATTTTGGATAAACCACGTAATGCATTTAACTTCATTTTTTTATTAAAAAAATAAAGACATTAGCTCAAGAGTTAAACTTTTTTAATAGTATAAAAACCCCAATGATAATGTTAATCTTGTATTCAAGGGGCCTAAAAGAAATTCTTGTCCATAGCAATAAAGGCTTGAATTTATGGTAGGAACTTGATTGACATTATTTTGGAGTTTCATGAAAGACTCAAAACATACAATGCCGTGTTTGAAATGTTCAGAACTTATAGGGACCAAATGGGAAATTTTTCAATACTAAATTTAAAATCTAAGTTTAATGATACACGACTTCGTCTTCTCCGTCCATGATTGCATTTTTGCCAGCGTCGGAATTAATGGCACTCCTTTTAACCTATATTTTCCTCTCGTTCTTTTTGCTATTGGTAATATTCAGGCATCCATTCGGCTTCCATCTGCAGGTGCTCTTGAAAGTATCTGGGGCTTGGATAGGCCGCCGGTGAAAAGAAATTGGCCCGCCGGAGGTGCTCAAGCCTATCCAAGCCCCTACTCTAGTTCCGCCCCTGAAGTTAAGTAACTTATATAATTCTTATCACTGAACGTGTTTTATACATAGGTCTTATAAGATGCTCATTTCACTTAATTATAGTGGCCAATTAAACGTAAAAGTTTGGGTTGTTAATTTTTCAAGCCACTAACTTTAATTCTTTCAACTACAAATTTCTAATTTGGACTATTTTACCGTTATTTTTTCAAATCAAATAACACTTATATAAATTGTTCATTATCAAACAAGTAAATTGGATAAGCTGTGAATCTATGAAGTTGAAGTACCCAATTATATTACTCCCCCGTCCTACAAAAATAGTCCACATTAAATTTTAAATTTTATACTGTTTTTAGTTTAAATTTGAAAACTCAATGTGGACTTTTTTTTTAGGACGAAGGCAGTATCAAACAGTTTCCTAAATAACAAAATGAAATGGATTACTAAAAGGGTACGAAGAGAGTACATGTTAAGCATTTCACTAGTACCAAGAAGCTTATAAAAGTAGTCAATGATGTCCTCCCATTATGAGTTCAGATCTAAAACTAGTGACTTTTGCAGTAATTTCAAGAATTTGAAAATGTGAATACAGTATAGGATGTTAATGCCCTGATTCCTGGATCTCAATTCAGACTTCTCTGTAGTTAAAAAAAAATAAAAAATAAAAATTGTTTCGTGACAGCTACTGATTTATGTGCTAGCCTGCTAGGTATATTATGAGACTTAATCACATATAAACCCTTACCCTTTCACAAATTTCCCAAGCTTCCCTAAAGAAATGATTATAGTACTTGCCAAATTCTTAATTTGTACTCCCAATTTTTTTTTTTTCCTGATTTGTGGAAAATGATATTTTTAAGGTAAATAATGCACCTGGTATTCGAAATCATTGTTTTGACTGATCCAGATTTGATCAAAGTAAATTTCATTTCAAGACGTAACAAATATTTTAATCACTGTTGCATACCCATGCTTAATGAATTTTGAGTAGATAAATTTGGTTTTTGGAGCTAGTTATTTTTCACGACACAATTAAGCGAACGTAAAAATATATATCCTACTATGTTACACCGACTTTATTTTATTTTGTTTTAAACATGTGAATAATAATATCTTATTTAATGAATAAAAATAAAGGCAATTCAATTAAACGGCGTTTATTTATCTTCAGGTAGAAAGAATAGTGCAATCAAAAGGCAGTCGATCATAGTTGTTTACTGTGAACCGAAAATGTGAATATTTTTCAAGAAGCAAGTCGGAAAATGGGGAAACTTGAAGGGGATTGATTGCAATAAACTCTTTATTTATTATTTTTATTATTGTTATTATCATCCATGTACATCTACAGCTAAGGAGGTCAATGTGAAAATGAAGAAAATCAATGCAATCATTTTTTTAATACAGATTTGCTGGCTCAATTTAATTTGCCTGCTGTTATTAATTTTTTTAATAATTTTGGTGGAAGCATGAAGGTAGGTAGTTTGGATCTGAATTAGTGATGAGAATGTTGTGTTCACAACTTCACATGATTGAGTACAGGAAGAAAGAGACGCAAAGACTGTAAATTCATCAGTTCATTAGTACTACTACTTGCAACCAAATCAAAGCAGCATACAATTATCCAAATCTCACAATCATATCAAAACCAGCTGATAATTTTCAACTTGGACACAAATTACCACAGAGAATCTGTTGTGCCCGTCCTTCAATTCTCGCATGGAAATGCTACAGGTAAGTGCAATGGTCCTGATCAGGGCGTCTCATTGATTTATTTCATGAAGTTTAGTCGGGTTTTTGTTATATGCTCCTGTAATTTTCATTTTTATCGAATGAATAACGGTATTCATCTCACTGATTTAATCTCACTTTCGAAACAAAAATGAAAACAATCCTGATTATGTCATTTCTTTCTCCTCCGTCCCAAAATGATTGTTCTGTTTCCGAGTAGCTCTGTAGTTAAATTAATTTGGTCCTTAATTTTGGACAGTCGTTTGGAGAAAAGAATGTGGAGGACTCCATTGGGATTGCTTTAAATGATCTGGAGTCAATTGTCCGAGATGCAAAGGAAGCATCACTGTCGTACGTTGTGAAAGTGAAGTTTGAGTTGGGAATTGCGAAGACTTTACGTCTGTGCAGAAAGATGTGGGCCGGAGGAGATCCGGTGCGCGCCGAGCCTGCGTTGCATATCATGGAGGAGATCATCCTGGAACGTAGTCGCGAAATTCATTCGGCCTATCTCACAATGAGGCAAGATGAGGATTGGGAAACCCTTCTGCAGTATGAGTACTCCGATTCCCTGTATGAGATTGGGGAAGCAATTAAAGAAGGAATGGAAATACCCTTTGAGATTCTCTCTGATGTCTTCTTATTGCAACAGACTACTAGTTCTTCTTCTTCTCATCGTCATTTTGAAATGGTGGATCTCCTGAATATCATCGATTCCCTTCTTTACATTGTTCCCTTGCTTCCTAAACGAAGTTTTAGTTCATCTCTCCATCCCCCTGGAATTATACCACCAACTATAAGATTCTTGAAGAACTTCATTCTCTTTGCCTCGTCGTTCCAAGGATTTGTGCTTGGGCAACTGGAAGATGATCTGTTCATTCAAGTCGAATGCTCAGTTGTCTATTTCGCGTGTTTGGTTCTAGAATTTGTGTTGGTGTCTTCGAACCAGTTTGATTTTCACGAATCCATGAGGAGGATTGAGCCTTTTGAGCCCCATGTTTGCGAGATTTATGTTGGAGTCCTTCAGCATGTTTTGGAATTGTCATTGCGGGAATCCATTCCTCATGGACCTCATCCCTCTCCAGATACACTTGTGCTTCAAAACTTTATTGATTCTCTGCTCTTTCTTCTTTTGAAGCTTTTATTCTTTGGTCCTACAAGTCATTGGTATACCTTTAACCACCATATCCGTAAACTGTACAAGGGATTGGAATTCTTGAAGATCTCCCTGAGAGAGAATCATGGTTATAAGGTTGGTGACCGGTATTTGCCTTCTATTTGTGAAGCAGGTACTATTGTTTGCTATCTTTTTGTCGAAAAAGGTGATGGACGAGGAATGGTCGAGAATTTGGAGCTTCTTTTTTCAGCTTTTGAAGAAAAAATTAAGCTTATCAAGGGAGCAGAAGAGCAGCCGCCGAGATACTCTTTAGCCTCAGCATCCTGCTTTCCTCAAACCAATTTGCCGGGCTTTATTGATTCCCTCTTGGAAAAAATCAAGTCAGTCAATGTATATGAGGCTAATTCTTCAATAATTGTTTCTGGAGAGGATGAGTTTCAGGCTATCCATAATGATCTCTCGTCTTTAAGATCGTTTCTGGTTGATGTTGTGCAGAAGACCCTAAAAAATGGGCAGCTCAAAGCTCTCTGGGGTCGCGTTGCTGCGATAGCCTATGAGACAGATTTTGCCATTGACAGTGTGTTAGTTCAACGAGATCTTCAGAGCTTTGTTATAATGCTTCATACTATTGTAGAAGAGGTCAACCTTATTAAGGTTGAGATCTCCGAATGTTCACATGGCGAAGGGAAGATACTCGAATTCCCGGGTATTATTACTAAAACTCATAGTAAGCTGTCATCATCAATCAGTAAGCTCCCAGAATTCAGTGAACATGCAGTGGGATTGGATGATGAGACGCAAAACATTGTTGATCAACTCACAAGAGGAACGAAGCAGTTAGACATTGTTTCTATTGTGGGTATGGCTGGGATAGGGAAAACAACACTGGCCAATAAAGTTTATCGTCATCACTCCATCGTTCATCACTTTTACGTACGTTCCTGGTGTAGAGTTTCTCAAGTATACAACAAGAAAAATTGCTTACTTGAGATTTTAAGAGGTCTTGATGATGAATCTGCTGACAAGTATTTAGAAATGAATGAGCATGATTTGGCTCTTAAGCTCTACCGAAGCTTGAAGGGAAAAACATATCTTGTCATCTTGGATGACGTTTGGGATGTTAAAGCATGGAGTGACTTGCAAAATTCTTTCCCTGATGATATCAAGGGAAGTAGGATTCTCCTGACTAGTCGACATGAGAATGTGGCTTTGCAAATCAAGCGGCAAACTGACCCTCACCATCTTCAATTGCTCACAGATGATGAGAGTTGGGAACTGTTTAAGATGAAATTAGTCTTTCCTTCAGAGCTTCATGATAGTGGGAAGGCGATAGTAAAACGTTGCAAGGGATTGCCATTGATGATTGTAGTTATTGCTGGACTTTTATCAAAGATGGAGCCAAGTACATGGGAAGAAGTCGAAGAAAGTCTAAAGAACGGCAAAGATCAGTGCATCGATGCTATAGCGATGAGTTATAGCCATTTGCCTCCTCATTTGAAACTATGCTTTCTTTACTTTGCAGCATATGCAGAGGACCAAAAATTTTCTGTTCGGGAAATGATATGGTTGTGGATAGCCGAAGGTTTCGTGGAGAAGAATGGAAGAGAGTGCATAGAGGATGTTGCAGAGGGTTATGTGATAGAGTTAATACAGAGAAACTTAGTTATGGTTGCTGGAAAAGAGTTTGGAAGCAGGGTAAAATTTTGCATGCTCCATGACCTGATACACGAGTTCTGCTTGAAAAAAGCTAATGAGGAACACTTCCTTCATCATTTACATGGAAGTGAGCTTGAAAATTCTATTGATCAATGCACGCTCTATCGGTTGCGTGTTTGTTCTAGTAAAGTGGAGGATTTTATAGAGTCAAGGCTGGAATGTCCTCGTTTGCGCACTTTGTTCTTCCTAACAGATTACAATGAAAGGCTTCCATTTTTACCACCTTGGTATGGCATCCTGTACAAGTTTTGCCAGTCCAATTTCTTAGGAGTTTTGGACTTGACGGGAATCTTTGAGTTCAAATCCTTCCCTCTTGTAATTCTACAACTTGTTCGCTTGAGGTACTTGGCCTTGTCAACAGGTGATCACTGGGAAATCCCGTTGTCGATTGAGCATCTCTCGAATTTGGAGACATTTATTGTTCAAGGAGGAGATGTAAGTGTTTTTCTGCCAAGCACTGTCTGGAATTTGAAAAAATTAAGGCATTTGTGTAGGATATCACGATCAGGGTGGGCGTGGGAATTGTCAATAGAGAATCCTAAGTGTCTCTCCTATTTAGAGAATTTACAAGTTTTCTCCAAGGTTGAATTTTCATGTTACCAAACCATGAAGGAAGTGATCAAAAAGTCTCCCAATATCCGCATACTTAAATGCAGTCTCATTCTAAGAGGAGATAACACAAAGTGTACTGAGGAATTCAAGATTATAGCACTAGATTGTTTGAATCAACTTGAATCACTATGGCTTAAAGATTTGTTTCAGGCTAAGCTGGATCTTCATTTTCAGTTCCCTCATAATCTAAAGAAGCTGACTCTGATAGGATTTGGCCTTCCATGGAGTAGAATTGCAACAATTGATAGACTTCCTAATCTGGAGGTTCTCAAGTTGGTAAGACGGGCATTTGAAGGGCAAGATTGGCACATGGACGAGGAAGAAGAAGAAGAAGAAGACGGGACGTTCCCAAGACTCAGGTTTCTGAAATTGGAAGACCTAGATTTAGCAAGATGGACGGGGTGCGATGATAATTTCCCGTGTCTTGAGGTCTTAGTATTGAAAGATTGCGACGACTTGGTGGAGTTACCTTCCTGTTTGGCAACAAGTTCAACTCTTCTGAGGATCGAGGTAACAGATTGCAAGCATGTCGCTGGTTCAATAAGGGAAATTCTAGAAATGCAGATGGATTTGGGAAATGAGGATCTCAAGATACTCAGTAAGCCTTAACAGATCGTCAGTGGAGTATTCAGTGTGACAAAAGATTAATTGTAATTTAGTATTTGGTTTCCCCATAACTAGGGTTCTGCCATCTTTTCAAAAGTTATTCAGTGTGACAAAAGATTAATACTAGTAATTCATATGGTTGTTCTCCAATGTAATCCGAACCTAGTTTGATTTTTTGTTCTGAAGATGTTGGTTGTTGTGTTTAGACACGAATTAAATCTTATGGAGTTTTTAAGTACTACAAGGGAAATTAAGCTTCCGATCAGAAACCAACTTGGGACGCCACCAGCAATCCCCAGTTTTCTGTTTTTTTTTTTTTTTTTGGCTTACGTCATTCAAATTCGCCACCACGGAAGGAGGATCAAATTGTCCGTTCACCTGCAGTCAAGGAACTTTGTCGGTGTAGAAAAATATGAGGTGGTTTTAGATTTAGACATTGAGAAATAGTTGAGGGTAAAACTTTAAATGTCCTTATCCCAATAATTATAGATGTGCTACTAAGCCATGTGAAAATGCAGAAAATTTATTGCCAAAATTTATTTGGTTTAACAGCTGCCTCCATGCTCTTATCACTTATGCTTCCCCCTCTGAAGATTTGATTTAGTTCATCATCATCATCATCGTCGTCCACCTTTTTGTTGATACTCGAGTCCTAGATCATTTTGATTTGTACTATCTCTTTAAATTTAGTAATTTAAGTTTCACATCTCCTTCATTCATTTTCTTTAATCGGGATATTTTGGTGGCCGAGAGTTGCAAAGGAAGTGGACCTGTTTTCCTGAATTATGATCAAGTCCTCCCAATCAAAATGGTACAACTCTTTTATTCCTTTCTTAATTCAACTCGTCACATTTATCTCCGACTTTGTTATTTAATTTCAGTCATATTTGTTTTGGTTTGTGTGTTTAATTTGATTGATCAATTATTTCCAACATCTCATGTTTACACAAGAAGATACAAGTTTGGCATCGATTATTCTTTGCAAATTTCTGGTTTTTCTGAAGGGGGAATCATACAGGTCCACTATACACCGAGTTATGTTGGTCTGGTTTTCAACCATTTTGACAAGGGAACTCTATTACCAAAGATTAGTTTATTTGATTTAGAAGCGGCAATCCGCGAGATTCCTGTATTAAAACACCACTTTCGGGATGTGAAGTGTTCGTTGGGAGTTATGAGGACGATTTTTCAGTACAGAATGATTTGGGACGAAGATGCAGGAAACGAATCTGCCCTGTGTACTATGGCGGCCACCGTTCTCAAATGTTCTCTGGAAATTCAGTTACTCTACCTTACACTGGAGGAAGCTGGTAATGATCATGCGATTTCTGAAAATCGATGGAATCGGTTCTCTGAGTTCTTACAAAAGATTGTGGAATCGATTTGGCAAGGAATGGAGGAAACCTTCGATATTGTCTCAGACGTGGTTCGGAAGAGGAAGACTAGTTCTTCTTCTCATTCGGAAATGGGGGAACTCCTGAACATCATCGATGCCATTCTTCACATTCTGCCCAAATTTGTTCCAAATCACTTTGGCGCTTGTCATGTTGATTACGCAATAGTATCTGTAAAATTCTTGAAAAAATCCATTCTCTTTGCCGCATTTAAAGGACTTGAGCATAGGCAAACGCAAGCTCTGTTGGTTCACATTCAAGCCTCAGTTTTCGATCTCGCCCGCTCCATCTTTGCGGCGGAGCTTTTGGGGGATCACTATGATCATTTTTCCAAATCGATTGAAAGCATTGACGCTTTTCTATCCCATGATGTATGTGACATTTATCTCGGATATCTGCATGAAGTTCTAGAATTGCCTCAATCATCTATTCATCATCTCACTCCTGGGAGCAATGCACTTGAGTCCTTGGTAGCCTTTGTTGGTTCCCTCCGCTCTTTTCTTTTCAGGATAGCATTCCATTGTGAATTCCATTTGTACACCTTTGACCTCCATATTCGTAAACTGTGTGAGGGATTGGAATTCATGAAGACCGCTCTAAGAGAGCATCAAGATAAGGTTGGTGACCACTATGAGAAAATGCCTGATCTCATCCCACCTCTTATTTGTGAAGCAGGGGTTATCATTTTCAATCTTATTCGAGGAAACGAAGTTGAAGGAGGCATGGTTAAAAAGCTGGAGCCACTTTTTTCAGATTTTGAGGAAAAACTTGAGCTCATCATGGGACCAAAAGAAGTGGCATCCGGGTACTCTTTGGACTCGCCATCCTACTTTCCTCAAACAAACTTGCTTGGTTTATGGAATCCTTCTTGGATAAGATTCGGTCAGTCAATTTTAATGGGTCGGATTCAGCAATTGGCTTAGAAGTGAATAAGTTTCAAGCTGTTCATGATGATTTGGCATTTTTAAGGTCCTTTTTGGTTAGTGCTATATGTTCGAGCGAGATGAAAATGAGAAGCTCAAAGCACTCTCGGGTCGCATTTCTACGGTCACCTATGAGGCAGACTTTGTTCTCGATTCTTTATTAAATGGAGATGATCTTCAGAACTTTGTTTTGATGCTTGATACTATTACAGAAGAAATCGAACTTATTAAGATTCAGGCCATGGAAAATTCTCACAAGAAAATAAACTTCCAAGTCCAGAAAATAACTAAAACTCGTAATATGCCATCACTCAGTACGCCACCAGAACTTAACGAATCTATTGTGGGCTTGGATGATGAGACTCGAGATATTATTGGTCGACTCACAAGAGGAACAAAGAAGTTGGATGTTGTTTCTATTGTGGGTATGGCCGGATTAGGGAAAACAACTCTCGCCAAGAGAGTCTATCGTGACATCTCCATCATTCATCACTTTTATGTTCGTTCATGGGGTACAATTTCTCAAGTATACAACAAGAAAAATTTGTTACTTGAGATTTTGGGAGATGTTGATGTTCAATATATTGACAAGTTTCAAAAATGAATGAACATGATTTGGCTCATAGACTCTACCAATGCTTGAAGAGGAAGAGGTACCTTATTATCTTGGATGATATTTGGGATGTTGAAGCATGGTGTGACTTGCGAAATTCATTCCCTAATGATGAAAACGGAAGTAGAATTCTCCTGACCAGTCAAGAAGAGAATATAGCTTCGCAGATCCAACCACACACTCGACCTCCTCATTCTCTTCGTTTCCTCACTAGTGATGAGAGTGTGGAATTATTATGGAAAAAGATGCCTTTTGTGGAAGGCAGTCCTTCAGAAGTACTTGAATGTGGGAAGACAATAGCAGAACGTTGCAAGGGATTACCGTTGATGATTATAGTTATTGCCGGACTTCTATCAAAGATGGAGCCAAGTACTTGGGGAGAAGTTGAAAAAACTCTGAACAAAGGTATAGATCAGTGCAATTATACTATAGAGTTGAGTAATCAACATTTGCCTGATCAGTTAAAACCGTGCTTTCTTTACTTCGGGGCATATGAGGAGGACCAACAAATTCCTGTGCGGGAGATGTTATGGTTATGGATTGCAGAAGGTTTCATCATTAACACTGGAAAAGATTGCATAGAGGATGTTGCAGAGGGTTACATGATGGAGTTAATACAGAGAAACTTAGTTATGGTTGCTGGGAAAGAACCTGGAGATAAGATGAAATTTTGCATCCTCCATGATGTTTTGCGCGACTTTTGGTAAAAAGAGCACTTCCTCTTTCGTTTACAAGGTCACGAGCTTGATACTTCCATTGAGCCAAGCATGTTACATCGGTCACTTATTTGCTTTAGTAGAGTGGAGGATTTTGTAGAAGCCATGCTGCTTTGTCTCCGTTTACGCACCTTGTTCTTGGACACTGATCACAAAAAAAGGCTTCCATTTGTGGAACCATGGGATGACATCCTATATAAGTTCTGCCAGTACAAATTTCTAGGAGTTTTGGACTTGAGGCTTTCCAATTGTAATTCTAGTTCTTGTTGAGTTGAGGTACTTGGCCTTTTTTGCCAGAGAAGATGTGGAAATCCCATCATCAATTGAGCGTCTCCAAAATTTGGAAACTTTTATCGTGGAAGGATACCAAAACCTGGTTGTTCTACCAGGCACTATCTGGAATATGAAAAAATTAAGGCATCTATATAAAGCTCAAGTTTATTGTTGGGTTTTGCCAAGAGAGAATCCTCAACATCGACCCAGTTTGGAGAATTTGCAAATATTATCCCCTGTAACGCTCGATGATTGCCAAGAACTGAACGAAGTAATCGGGATGTTTCCCAACATTCGGGAACTTAAATGCGAAGTGAAAACAGCCACATGGACCTTAGCACTAGATTGTTTGAGCCAACTTGAATCACTTTCGTTCCATACTTTAGAGTATCTGGACTTTCAATTTCGGTTTCCCCAGAATCTAAAGGAGCTGACACTCTCATGCAGGAGTAAAATTTCTGCAATTCATAGGCTACCAAATCTGGAGGTTCTCGAGTTACTATTCAGGACATTTGCTGGGGAAAACTGGGACATGGAGGAGGAAGAAGAAGAAGAAGGAACAATAATATTTCCCAATCTCAGATTTCTAAAATTGTATTGGGTGAGCTTAGCTAGATGGACGGGTGAATCGGATGGAATTTTCCCGTGTCTTGAGAAATTAGTATTCGAAGACTGCCATGACTTGGTGGAGTTACCGTCCTGTTTAGCTCAAATTCCAACACTTGAGACGATTGAGGTAATCCGTTGTGGGAAAGCCATAATTGATTCTGTAAAGCAAATTCGGGACATACAGATGGAATTCGGGAATGAGGTAAAGATCTTTACTCAATCTTGGGCTTCAGAACCAAAACGACTATTAGGCGATGAATCAGGTAAGTTCAAACCCCTCTATCTATCTCGTTTTCTTGAAAAAAAAATTAATGATTTCCCTGTTAAGGTGTATTATCTTGTCACACATCGCTACTGTGAAGAGAAGTGATTCAGTATATAAATTGCAAAGGTCACCTCACTCATTGCTAATTGGTTTTGAGATGGGAGTCCAAAGTATTTATATACTTTGACATGGTATCAGAGCGGTCTGGGCCTCTGGTGGAGTTCTGAGCCGGAGGTGCCCTGTGGTAATTTTATCTGAACCCACTTGAGCGTTGACTCGTGGGCTTGTTGTGGACCGACCCAGCAGTATAACTGGTTTTTTCCCACTAGAGCGTTGATTCGTGATCTTGTTATGGACCGACCCAGCGGTATTACTGGTTTTCTCCCACTAGAGTGTTGACTCGTGAGCTTTCTGTTCTTGTTCCTATTCAATTCTATTGGGCAAAAAGTTCAAAAGACCCATTGGACTTGAGGGATGGTGTTAAGGTGTATTATCTTGTTCCATATCGTCATTGTGAAGAGAAGTGATTCAATATATAAATTTCAAATGTGATCTTACTCATTGCCAATTGGTTTTAACATAGGAGCCCAAAGTACTGTACTTTAATATCCCCAAATTGTGTTGTAATTTATTAATTTTGTACCAATTTTTCCCACCACATTTTTAGTTTCACACTACTAATCTTTATTTATCTTACTCAAACCTTAGTATCCAAAATACAATATTTCATAGCATTTTTTTTAAAAAAAATCCTATAAAATATAATATATATATATTAAATTAATTTTTTAATGACATAAATTTTACCATTTTGTTAAGAACCACATTTACTTGCGAAGATAAAGTATTCTTTTATCTCACTATAATAAATTCTAATTTTATTTTGAAACTAAAATATTCAATATTAAAAGAATCAAAATGAAGTATTTCCAAAAAGTATAAAAAAAAAAACCCCCTCAAAATCTCCAAAATTTTCACTAACAAATCCATATTTTACACCCGCGAGTTGTTCTTCAATGATCTTTATAAATTATTATGCAGAATCGTTTGATGAGCTCGATCATGCATTGTCAGAGGACAACACTGCAGAATCTTCTAACAAGATGGATTATGATTATGCGTTTCCAGATGAAGGAACCGATGAATGAACACTGAGATAAACAAAGAGGTACTGTTCCATGATGCTTGGATCTTGGCCTTTTTGCCATCTTTCATTTCTAAGATTTTGAGAGTGCCAACAATTAAATTATCTAGTTGTTGCAATGTTGTCTGAAAGTTATTTTGTGTGTCATAGCAGCATCACGGCCAACCATTGTTCGAGGAAAGGGTTGGAAGGAAGTTCCTCTACCCCTGTTACTGTCTGCCTTAGTCCCTCGACTCGATGAAGAAAATTCAATGCAGCTCAGTGTTCTGTGCATGAAGTTAGCAAAAGGTGAAGTTCCCATGGACGAGTACATTTAGCCCGCTTGTTGACGAAGTCTCTAAAGCATTGGAAGAGTGTCCTCATCTTTGCCCTCTCCCATGGTGTTGCTTTTATAGTTTTCCATGATTTACTCTTTGAATGTTAATCTATTATACTACGTGTTTTCTTCTCATGTTAATTACCAGCAACAAAGTGGTAAGACTAAGATGTCTTACTGTCAGGCTAGTTGATCTAATCCTCATTTGGAAATTAATGGAGGAAACTCATGATTGTATATAATCAATTCTCTGGTTGTGATTTGCCCAAATTCCTTCTGATCAATTCATGTTACAAAATTAGAATAACCTCCCTCTTGTTTTTCAGTCGTCCTTTGTCTGTTTTAAATTAACTAGTATAATGACCCATCGTTAGGCTCTATTTGGACAAGAGTTTTAAAAAGACTTTTAAGGTTAAAAAGTTTGTTTAGAGTTTCAAATGCGTTTGGACAAAATAAATAAGGTCTTTTCTAAATATTATTTTGAAAAAAAAAAGGCTTGAAACAGACTTTTCAGAAAATAGATAGGGAGTATTTTTCAAAATTTTCAAACAGACTTTTTCATTTGCATTGCGGGTCTCAAATCGGGTCAAGGCGGGTTATTAAAAATTCGGGTAATGGACGTAAAGAAAAAAAAAGGTTCCCTTCTCACTTCTCTCCCATGCCCTAGATCCGACGCTTGAGTTTCTATTCCAAATTGCCCGAACCCTGTTGCAATTTTATGGCGATTCACGTTTCTTCTCGTTTTGTCTTCCATCTTTCTATGTATTTGCCACCGTAAGAAAAAAAAATAGAAAGAAGAACTCAGAAAAATGGCTCAGAACTCGAAATTGGTGATGGGATTTTTGTGTTTGCAGTGAACGGGGTGAAGTTTGAGGTGCCCAGTATTGATGGCGGAACCAGCAAAGTGTCAGCTGACGCCCCAAGCCGCCGCCGGAATCTATAAAAGTTTTATGGTCAGAATTTTATAGTGGCTCTACCAGTTATCTTTTGCCCCCAATTTCTGAAGAAAAAGATTCTTAAAGACCTTCCAAGGTTTGTAATTGAAGGAAAGGCTTCGGAGATTTTTTATTGAAGGAGGCTCTCGGAGTAGGCAACAGGAGTTGTCCGACGACATAAGCTAGTGATGGGTTGATGCGAGAAAGAAGAAAAACTTAGAAATAGATATTATTGAATATTATTAGTTAGTACATATACTTTCTTAGTTTTTCAAAGAGACCCCTCTTTAATTATAGCCAATCATAAGATTTAGTAATCAGCCCCTGGTCTTTTATTTTTAATTTTATATACACTATCTATGCTTTGACTACTCTATAGAACTAAATCCAAAAAGTATATACACTATACTTTGGTTGCGCTCAAGGTATTTAATTAATTAATTAATTTAATTTATTTATTTTAGATGTCTTCATTCCATTTGCTCGTTTGAAAATCTCTCGATAACAATGTTCCAAACTTATCATGCATTTGATAAGTTAGAATGGTTTTAATATTATGTTTTAATTTAGTCATAATGATTTTAAAATACTCTAATTTTAATTTATGTTGGAATATAAAGTGTGGAAAAGAAAATTTTGGAACAAGACAATTGTGAAAAATAAAACAATAATTTAGAAAAGAAAAGTGAAAAAAATGAAAATAACAATTTGTCTAAGAATGACTTTCTTTTTTTTTTTTATAAAAAAAAGACCACAAATCATTTTTAACAAAAAGTAATTTTGAAAAAAACCTAGTCCAAATGGCTTTTTATTATTTTTAATTACTAAAAGGGTTTTGAGAAATTCTTATCCAAATACATTATTTTTCAAAAATAACTTTTTTAAGTTTTGCTCCAAACAAATTTTTCTTAACAATTTTTCAAAAATCTTGTCCAAATGGAGCCTTAGTTTTTTGGTAAGTTAAGAAGGCAACTTGGCAAATTAGAAGGATTAAACAAATGGACAATCAACATCCAAAAAGTCCTATGTGCATTGACTTTTTTGGCTACATTTTTCAGTCAAGTCTTTTTCTAGGGGGTAGTTTATCCAAGCCAGTTAGCTGCAAAAGCATCTTTTACAAAGGGTAGGGGAAGAAATAAAAAAAGGCATCATCCATTGCATTGCTTATCCGGATGGGCTGCCCGTCCGTACCAATGCTTCTTCTTGTTCATTGAAGTCCAGAAGACAAACTACAAAATCTGTTTGCCGATTATTTTCAAGTCCTCTGGTATCAATCAAAATGGTAGATATTCTTTCTGTACTTAATCTTCTCTTTTTTTCATTCCCATATGAAGATCTTAATTAATTAGCTCATCATGTTAATGATTAATTATAGCTAGATAGCTTAACTAGATCAATGAGTTCATCGATTTACTTATGATGAAAATTTCTACTCTAAAAAAAGGATGATGTTTATGAAGTTTAGTTATAGTAGCTAGGCACACTAGTAAGCAAGCATTATTCCGGATTTAATTTTGTCATTCAACTATATCATATCTGTTTTGGTTTGGGGTTTGAGTTATTGTTTGGAAAAATGTCATATATATCTTATGAAGCTTAGGGCCACAACATCTTCATTGTGCACTTAGTTATGTCTCTTGTTTTTTTTTTTTTTTTGGCATCATATTGACAGTCATCGTTGAGAGATGTTGTTATGGAGAACTATTTTCAGTTTGGTTTAGATGATCTGGAGTCAATAAGCCGTGAGTTTCCTGTTTGGGAAGCATACCACATTCTGGGAATGAAGCGGCAGTTGGGACTAATGAGGAGGTTTCATCTGTTCAGAAATATGTGGCGAAAAGATGTTTGCGGCGAGTCCGCTTTGTGTACAATGGAGGAGACTCTCGTCAAACGTTCTGTAGATATTCAGTTTCTCTATCTCACATTGAGGGAAGATTACAACAATGATCCCGTGACATTTGATGAGAAATGGGACAGCCTCAGCGGGAACATTGGTATGTTTCTTCATGAGGCCGGGGAATCATTTATGATAGAAATGATTGAACCTTACGAGATTCTATCAGATATTCTCTTGTTGGAGACTAGTTCTCATTCTCCTTTGGAAATGGAGGAACTTCTGGATCTCCACCATTCCCTTCTTCACGTGTTGCCCGAATTTCTGATTGAAGATCATATTGGACGTTTCCTTCTTCCTGTCGACGCGGAAAAAGCAATAGGATTCTTGATGAATCTCATTCTCTTTGCGGCATTTCAAGGACTTGAGCTCAGGCAAATGCGACATCTGTTGATCCACGTTCAAGGCTCAGTTCTCTATCTTTTGTGCACCATTGTTCAGCCCGAGATTACACACGAAAGAAGGTTTCATGTCAACGAATTTATGAGAAGAATTGAGCCTTTGGAATCCCATGTGTGCGGGATTTATCTTGGAGTCCTGCAGGAAGCTTTAGAATTATCACAGTCACGGTTGACATCTATCAATCCCACTCCTCTACCAGAAAGTCATACATATATGTTGGTAGATTTTGTTGATTCTCTCATCTTCCTTCTCTTTAAGCTGTTATTCCATGGTTCAACTCACTGGTTTATATTTGACCATCAAATTCGTAAACTATATGAGGGATTGAAACTCTTGAAAACCACTCTCAGAGAGCATCATCAGACAATGCATCATGTCATTGGACCTCTTATTTGTGAGGCAGGGATTATTATTTTCTATCTCTTTCTAGGAAAAGAAGTGGAGGTTGGTTTGATTGAAAACTTAAAGCCTCTTTTTTCTGACATTGATGAGAAATTTAAGTTTATTATCAACGCCGCCCCAGAAGAGACGCTGAGACATTATTCCCTTGCATCATTTTGCTTTCCTCACACCAACTTGCCCGGCTTTATTGATTCCGTCTTGGGAAAAATGAAGTCTACCAATCCACTTGAGGTGGCGGATTCGGCAAGTGCTTCAGAAACTGATAAGTACCGAGCTCTCCACGATGATCTTGCATTTTTGAGATCTTTTCTAATTAGTGTTTCGTGGAAGCATGATCAAAATGAGAGGCTCAAAGCACTCTTGGATCGTATTGCTACGGTGGCCTATGAGATAGAGTTTGTTTTAGATTCTCTATTAGTTGAAGGTGATCTTCAGAGCTTCGACGTGATGCTTAATATTATTATAGAGGAGATCAAACTTATTAAGCTTGAGTCCTGGGAAAGTTCTCACCGCAAACGAAAGATCATTGAAGTCCAGGACATTACTAAAACTCACAGTAAGGTGCCAATGATACGTAAGCTCCTAGAATTCAATGAGCTTGTGGTGGGAATGGATGATGAGGCGCAAAAGATTATTGATCAACTCACAAGAGGAACAAGACAGTTGGACATTGTTTCTATAGTGGGTATGGCCGGGTTAGGGAAAACAACTCTGGCCAAGAGAGTTTATCGCCATGTCTCCATCGTTCATCACTTTTATGTTCGTTCATGGTGCACAATTTCTCAAGCATACAGCAAGTCAAGTTTGTTACTTGAGATTTTGAAAGGTCTTGATGGGCAGTCTACTGACAAGTATTCAGAATTGAATGAACATGATCTGGCTCGTAAGTTGTACCAAAGCTTGAAGGGAAAAAGTTATCTTATTATCTTGGATGATGTTTGGGATGTCAAAGCATGGAGTGAGTTGCAGCATTCATTCCCTGATGATAACAAGGGAAGTAGGATTCTCCTTACCAGTCGTCATGAGAACGTAGCTTTAGGTATCAAACCACACAGTCAACCTCACTGTCTGCGTTCCCTCACTGAGGATGAGAGTTGGGAACTCTTTCAGATGAAGATATGCGTCACGCAAGGCTGTCCTTCAGAACTTCTTGCACGAGGGAAGTCAATAGCAAAACGTTGCAAAGGATTGCCAATGATGATTTTAGTTATTGCTGGAAGTCTATCAACTATGGAGCCAAGTACATGGGAAGAAGTCGAGGAGAGTCTGAACAAAGGTATAGATCAATGCAAGGATATTATAGAGTTGAGTTATCGCCATTTGCCTGATCACTTGAAACCCTGCTTCCTTTACTTTGCAGCATATCCGGAAGACCAAAAATTACTTGTTCGGGAGATTTTATGGTTGTGGATTGCAGAAGGCTTTGTGGAGAAAACTAAAAGTGAGTGCATAGAGGATGTTGCAGAAGGTTACATGATGGAGTTGATTCAAAGAAATTTAGTTATGGTTGCAGGGAAAAATTCCGGAGGTAGGCTGAAATTTTGCATCCTTCATGACCTATTACATGAGTTCGGCTGGAGAAAACGCAATGAAGAACAATTTATGCATCACTTGAATGGTCACGAGCTTTGTATTCCCGCTAAGCCAAACATGTCTTATCGATTGTGTGTTTACTCAAGACTAGGAGAGGATATTGTGGAGTCGAGGTTGCATTGTTTTCGTCTACGCACTTTGTTCATAGAGTCTGATTTCAACAAGAATGCACCTGAAGAATCTTGGCATGGTATCCTGTACAAGTTTTGCCAGTCCAGACTTTTAAGAATTCTGAACTTAACGTCAATCTGCAAGTTCAGTAACTTTCCAGGTGTAATTCTACTTCTTGGTGGCTTGAGTTACTTGGCCTTGTCAGGTAAAGGTCAATGGGAGATCCCGTCAACAATTGAGCATCTTGCAAGTTTGGAAACATTTATTGTGGAAGGAGATGTAACACTTTTGCTGCCAAACACTCTCTGGAATTTGAAAATGCTACGACATTTGTATACCTCACCATGGTTACAGCAAGCACAGTATGGGTGGAAACTACCGATGGAGAATCCTAAACATCTTTCCTCTTTAGAGAATTTACAAATTCTCTCCAAGGTAACATTTTCTTGTTACCAAACATTGAAGGAAGTAATCATATTGTGTCCCAATATCCGCAAACTTAAAGGCCACCTCTCTAATACCAAAAATACCGATGATTTCAAGATTGCTGAGGACTTGAAGATCATAGCACTAGATTTTTTGCGTGAACTTGAATCACTCTGGCTCTCTGCTATGGAATGTGAGCGTTTTCACTTTCAGTTTCCCCAAAATTTAAAGAAGTTAACTCTATCATTCTTTTGCCTTCCATGGAGCCAAATTGCAACAATTAGTAGGCTACCGAACCTGGAGGTTCTCAAGTTAATAAGGCGGGCATTCAAAGGGGAAGATTGGGAGATGGAAGAAGAGGAAGGGACATTCCCCAAACTCAGATATCTTAAATTGGGAAAGCTAGACTTAGCGAGGTGGACAGGTTCGGATGACTGTTTTCCGTGTCTTGAGAAATTAGTATTGGAAGAATGCAACAAGTTGGTGGAGTTACCTTTCTCTTGTTTAGCCAATAGTTTCACGCTTCAAATCATTGAAGTAACTCTCTGTAAACATGTAGTTGATTCGATAAAGCAAATTCAGGAAACGCAAATGGACTCGGGAAATGTTGATCTGAAGATCCTTACAAGATCTTCATTCTGGGAGCCATTTTCAGAAATGAGTAAGTCTAGACGTATTCTCTCTCTTTCTTTCATTTTTCCGAATAAAAACCTACTTTCATTCACGTATCAATTAGCCTGCATTTCCGAATTCAGTAATACTCCTTACAAGATCTACAGGAGTATGATTTATCATCACCTGTAGAGATTTATGAGATCCATTTGACAGAATGATATCAATACTATCTTAATGTCTATGATGATTTACGACAAAAGATCAAGGTTTTGACTGCCTATGGCGATTCATTCAAAGGCGGGTTAGGTTTTAGTTACGTGTTAAGAGTTTAGATAATATTTAGATAGATATGTGTCAAATTATAACAAAGTGATTTAAAGAGTGATGTAAAAATATGGCAATAGGAGCTCATTCACCATGATTTATAAGGCTATATTGTATGACTTACATCAATCTATATATGACTTGAATAAGCCTTTTGTAAATATTAGTGCGGATAAGTTCTATATTTCCCTTTGTTGAGCTGTGCTTCAATAGTTTTGTTACTTTTGCAGAATCTTCTGATGAGCTTGATGATACCTTGTCAGAGGAAAACATCGATCAAGACTAAGCGAAGAGCAAAGAGATTGCGATCAAGACTAAGCGAAGAGCAAAGAGGTTGCGCTATGACGCCTGATCGCATGCTTTCTTCATTTTTTTCAATGGTTTAAATCATTCATTGTGATTCATGTGATAAACATTTAAAAGAATGAGAGACTTGCACATCAATCATTATGCAAAAATCACTATTAACTTTTACTATTGGGCTCTATCGAACTATCATTAGTTGATCTAAATCCTCATTTGGAAATTAATGGAGGAAACTCATGAATATAATCAATTCTCTGCTTCTGATTTGCCCAAATTCCTGATCAAATCATGTTTCTACTTAAAACCTCCTCCTTGTTTTTCAGTCGTCCTTTCTCTTTCATAAGTTTATAACTATTAATGGACCCCCTCGTTATCGCCTTTCGGTGTTGAAGAAGGCATCTTTCACAAATTAGAATGATTAAACAAATGGACAAGAAGGTTTTTTTTTTTTTTTATTTTTATGTGCGTTGACTTTTGTCCAAGTCTTTCTCTAGGGGGTTGTTGATCCAGTCAAGCAAGTTGCAAATTAGCTGAAAAATCATCTTTCCTTTCTATTCTTTTTAGTTTTCTTCTTTACTTCATTTTTATTTCCTAAGAATGAAGAATGAATCTATAACGTGCAAAATAATATTCTTGTAATTAATTAAGATTCAGATCAAGCATGCGATTATATATAGGCAGTACGTATTAATGTTCAGAATAATTCGTTAAAGGGGCAAAATTGTTTTTAAAATTAAATTGTAATTGATTTTACGAATAGGAAAATTGGATGCGCTGATGTGCTATAATGAATCTCTTAAGAAGTAATTTCCAAAACAGTGAACAGTTCAGGGGGATTATTTACCATTTTACTCTCATTAAAATCATAGATATTTAAGATTCAAATGGAAGCACAACGAATATTACAACTTATTGCAATGTCTATGTATGCTCATTTACAAATTTTTTTTTTTAAAAAACTACTCCATCTCTCTCAAAATCATTTTCTAGTTTGAGATTTCACTTTTAGTATAATTTGAACTAAAAATGAAAATATAAACTGGACAATAATTTCGGGACAGCAGAATAGATTTCATGGTTCGAAATTCGCAGTCGTCTGGATCCGAACAGTCCTTGATTATGTGAAGGAGTCTGTTTGCAGTGTAATCTAAACTAAGCCGTGTGACATTGCAGAAAAGGCATCAATTTCTTGGGTGTATTAATAGTACTCTTCGTTTTGAAGTGATTGTCTGTTTTAAATTGTCATATTAAACGATAAAGTTTAAATTAGAAAACATTTCGGTAGAGGGAACATTAGTTTTATTCGTTGTGGTCAAAGATGCACGCTGCTTGCTTACACATACCTAAGATAATTTTAAACTAGTGTTTACATTCTGTAATTTCCATTATTAGGTAGGAAGAAGTAGACCAAAAACTTCAATCAGTTATTCACCATCACTGTTTTGATACCCAAGTCTCCCTTTCCACCATCCTAATGCAGAAGCTGGCTGATCTGATGACTATCAATCAAAACCACTTAGCTTTTCCCTCTTAAGTTTCGACTTTGGTGCGAGTTCATTGGTGAAAAAAAAAAAAAAAACCAAAAAAGATTATTCACCAGGATTTGAGGTTGACAAGTGCAAGAAGAAGCTGAGGATCTCATGTGTTCTGCTGAAGTATAATCAAGTTATTCGTATCAAAATGGTACACACATATATACTCTTTTTCTCTTTTCCTTTTTCTTTTCCTTCCTTATAAACATCTACATTTATTAATGCTTCATATTTGGATAAGTCACTGTTCGATTTGTTCGAGAAATTTCATGTTTGAGCTCCTGTTTAGTAGATTGCTGAACACCCTGAAAAGGTCCTAAGCTCCTGCAAATCTAATTCTACCTAGGGCGATTCTTGCACTAATAAGAGTATCTCCTGACTAAGGGTATTTTTATAGTCCAAAACAGCAGTCTTTCTAGTCCTAATTATGAGACACATATATGAACTAATTTTTAGTGTAAATTCGTACTTTATATTGAAGGTTGCGGGAATCAATCATACATCTCCGTCCGCTACACTGAGTTTAGGTGTGTTTGTGTTTGAACCATTTTGACAGGAGAAGTCTATTCAGATTGGTTTAGATGATTTAGAAGCCATAACCCGCGAGTTTCCTAAATGGCAACGAGACGGCGTTCGGGATGTGAAGTGCTCGTTGGGAGTTATGAGGTTGATGTTTCAGTGCAGAAAGATATGGTGCGAAGATGCACGCAGCGAATTTTCCCTGTGTACTATGGAGGAGACTGTTGTCAAAACTTCTCTGGAAATTCAGCTTCTCTACCTTACATTGAAGGAAGCTAGTAATGATCATGTGATTTTTGAGCCGGGAGGGAATCGATTCTATGAGTTTCTTGATGAGATTGTGGAATCGATTGGGCAAGGAATGAAGGAAGCCTTCGACATTGTCTCAGATGTTGTTCGGAAGACCAGTTCTTCTTCTCATTTGGAAACGGAAGATCTCCTGAATATCATCGATGCCATTCTTCACATTCTGCCCGAATTTCTGGGAGGTTCTTATGATGATGACATAGCAGTGACTGTGAGATCCTTGAAGAATTTCATTCTCTTTGCCGCACTTCAAGGACTTGAGCATCCGCAAACGCGACCTCTGTTGGTTCACGTTCAAGCCTCAGTCTTCCATCTGGCTCACTCCATCTTTGAGCTGGAGCTTTTGGATCATGATGATCATTTATTCGGATCGATTGATAGCATTGACCCTTTTAAATCCCCTGGCACATGTGACATTTATCTTGGAGTTCTTCAGGAAGCTTTAGAATTGCGTCAGTCATCTATTCATCTCATTCCTGAGAGCAATGCACTTGAGTCGTCGCTAGCCTTTGTTGGGTCTCTCCGCTCTTTCCTTTTCAGGATAATATTCCGTGGTGAATTCCATTGGTACACCTTTGACCACCAAATTCGTAAACTATATGAAGGATTGGAATTCATAAAGACCGCTCTGAGAGAGCATCAAGATAAGGTTGGTGAGTACTATGAGAAAATGAATGATCTCATTCCACCTCTCATTTGTGAAGCAGGGCTTATCATTTTCTATCTTATTCGTGGATATGAAGTTGAAGAAGGCATGGTTAAAATGCCGGAGGCGTTTTTGTCAGATTTTGAGGAAAAACTCGAGCTCGTCAAGGGAGCAAAAGAAGCGGCATCCAGGTACTCTTTGACCTCAGCGTCCTACTTTCGTCACACCAACTTGCTTGGGTTTATTGATTCCTTCTTGAAAAAAATCCACTCATTCAATTTTAATGGGCCTGATTCAGTAATTGCCTCAGAAAAGAATCAGGTTCAAGCTGTTTATGATGATTTGGAATTTTTAAGATCTTTTTTGGTTAGTGCTCTGCTTGAGCCTGATCAAAATAAGAAGCTCAAAACACTCTGGAATCGCATTGCTACAGTCGCCTATGAGGCAGAGTTTGTTCTCGATTCTCTAATAAAAGGAGATGATCTTCAGAACTCTGTTGTGATGCTTAATACTATTATAGAAGAGATCGAGCTCATCAAGATACAGGCCATGGGAAATTCTCACAAGAAAAGAAAGATTATCCAAGAACAGAATATAACTGAAACTAAGAGTAATATGCAATCACTAGGTAAGCTGCCAGAAGTTAATGAGATTGTCGTTGGCTTGGATGATGAGACTCAAAATATTATTGATCGACTCACAAGAGGAACAAAGAAGTTAGATATTGTTTCCATTGTTGGTATGGCCGGGTTAGGGAAAACAACTCTGGCCAAGAGAGTCTATCTTCATATCTCTATCATTTATCACTTTCAAATTCGTTCATGGGGTACAGTTTCTCAAGTATACAACAAGAAAAATTTGTTACTTGAGATTTTGAGAGGTGTTGATGTTGAATCTACTGGCAAGCATTCAGAAATGAATGAGGATGATTTGGCTCGAAGACTCTACCAATGCTTGAAGAGGAAGAGGTACCTTATCATCTTGGATGATATTTGGGATGCTGAAGCATGGGGTAACTTACGATTTTCATTTCCTGATGATGGATACGGAAGTAGAATTCTCTTGACTAGTCGAGATGAGAATGTAGCTTCGCAGATCGAACCACATAGCCAACCTCCACATTCTCTTCGTTTCCTCACTAGTGATGAGAGTGTGGAACTATTCCGGAAAAAGATGCCTTTTATAGAAGATAGTCCTTCAGAAGTACTTGAACGTGGAAAGACAATAGTACAACGTTATAAGGGCTTGCCATTGATGATTATAGTTATTGCCGGAATTCTATCAAATATAGAGCCAAGTACTTGGGGAGAAGTTGAAGAAACTCTGAACAAAGGTATTGATCAGGTCAATGATACAATAGAGTTGAGTTATAACCATTTGCCTGATCATTTGAAACCGTGCTTTCTCTATTTCGGGGCATATGAGGAGGACCAACAAATTCCTGTGCGGGAGATGTTATGGTTGTGGATTGCTGAAGGTTTCGTCATGAACACTGGAAGAGATTGTATAGAGGATGTTGCCGAGAGTTACATGATGGAGCTAATACAGAGAAGTTTAGTTATGGTTGGTGGGAAAGAACCTGGAGGTAAGATGGAATTTTGCATCCTCCATGATGTTTTGCGCGAATTTTGCTTGCGAAAAAGTAATAAAGAAGACTTTTTGCTTCGTTTACAAGGTGTCGAACTTGGTAGTTCCATTGACCCAAGCATGCTACACAGGTCACTTGTTTATACTAATAGAGTGGAGGATTTCGTAGAAGTCAGGCTGTTTTGTCCCCGTTTACGCACTTTGTTCTTGGTTGCTGATTACAAAGAAATGTTTGCATTTGTAGAACCTTGGTATGGCATCCTGTATAAGTTCTGCGAATCCAAATTTCTAGGAGTTTTGGACTTGAGGGGAATCTATGAGTTCGAATTCTTTCCATGTGTAATTCTACTTCTTGTTGAGTTGAGGTACCTAGCTATGTATACTAGACGTGATACGGAAATCCCATCATCAATTGAGCGTCTCTGGAAATTGGAAACTTTTGTTGTTGTAGGGTACGACAAGTTGATTTTCCTACGAGACACTCTTTGGAATATGAAAAGATTAAGGCATTTGTATAGCTCTCGGAATCTTTGGCGTTTGCCGAGAGAGAGTCCTCGACATCTCCCCAATTTAGAGAACTTGCAGATTTTATCCCGTGCCGCATTCGCTGATTTCCAAGAACTGAACGAAGTAATCGGGAAGTGTCCCAGTATTCGGATACTTAAATGCGTAGTGGACAACCCTCCAACACCCGGAGGGACCTCAAGGATAATAGCACTGGATTGTTTGAACCAACTTGAATCACTGTCGCTCAGTAGTAACTTTTTTTCGGAGGATCTGGACTATCAATTCCAGTTTCCCTTGAATTTGAAGGAGCTGACACTGTCAAAGTTTCGCCTTCCATGGAGTAAAATTTCTACAATTCATAGGCTAAAAAATCTGGAGGTTCTTAAGTTAGTGGATGACGCATTCATAGAGGAAAACTGGGACATGAAGGAAGAAGAAGAAATATTCCCTAATCTCATATTTCTAAAACTGAAACGGCTGGATTTAGGTAGATGGACGGGTGGGTCAGATGAAACTTTCCCGCGTCTTGAGAAATTGGTATTGCAAGCATGCGATGACTTGGTGGAGTTACCATCCTGTTTGGCTCAAATTCCAAAACTTGAGATGATAGAGGTAATCAGTTGTAGTGGAGTCGTCGATTCAATAAAGCAAATTCATGAGATGTTGGTAAATGAGGGTAAGGAGGAGGTAATTAAGATCCTTATTAAGCCTTCACAATGGGATGATGAATCAAGTAAGTTAATTTTAACCTCTCTTTGCCTGAATCCCTTATAAACAAATATTAAAATAGTTTTTTAATAAAAATTCATCATTTTTTCTATTTTTGTGTAGAACCACATTTACTTGGGAAGATGAAGTTTTCTTTTATCGCTCTGGTTGTAATATTATTTTAAAAATAAAATATTCAATATTAAAAGAATGAAAAGAAGTATCATATTCTACACCAGGCGAGCTGTTCTTCAACGATCTTTATTGATTTTGCAGAAACTTTTGATGAGCTCGATCATGCATTGTCAGAGGACAACACTACACAATCTTCTAACGAGATGGATTATGATTATGCATTTCCAGATGAAGGAACTGATGAATGAACACTGAGATAAACAAAGAGGTAATGTTCCATGATGCTTGGATCTTGGCCTTTTTGCCATCTTTCATTTCTAAGATTTTTGAGTGAGCAAAAAAGTAGATTCTCTAGTTGTTGAAATGTTGTCTGAGAGTTATTGTGTGTGTCATGGCAGCATCACGGCCAACCACTGTTTGAGGAAAGGGTTGGAAGCAAGTTACTGTCTGCCTTAGAGCCTCGAGACTTGATGAAGAATAATAGCCAATGCAGCTCAGTTAGCGAAAGTTGAAATTCCCATGGATGAGTACATTTTGCCGACAATTGCTGCGGGTATCAGCTCCAAAGTGGTCAGACTAAGATGTCTTACTGTGAGACTAGTTTATCTCTGCTTGTGATTATATGTAATCTCTTCTTGTGATTTGCCCGGAATTCTGATCCATTCATGTTTTTTTTTTTTTTTTTTTTTGAGAAAGTGATCAATTCCTGTTACTATAATATTAATAATCTCCGGCTTCTTGTTTTTCAGTCTTCCGGTGTCTCTTTTAAATTATTTAATGGACCCTCATTTTCGCCTTTTGGTAAGAGGCAACTGGATAAATTAGAATGATTTTTGATAAATGAACAATCAACATACAACAGGTAATTGATCCAGGTAATAAATCGGGGTTCGATTCCCACCAAAGATTATAAAGAGTGCAGAAATTATAGTGTACGCATTAATTGCAGCCAGCTGGTGTGTGCAATGCACACTAGGAAGGGGCGTGGGTCAGCCACGCTTTCTTGTCATCATATCTTCAAGATTTTGATACCACAGCTTCACATATACACAAACTACCTGTTTCAAACTCTGTCTGTACATACACACACATTGATTTTCTTGCACACTTATCTAGTATCCAAGAACCTATTACATATAATCAGGCCAGGACAGATCACAGGTAGGTTGATGCAATGGACAAAGAATTGGAGGCTTTGGAGCAGAATGGAACTTGGGAGCTGACTTCCTTACCAGCAGGAAGAAAGCCATATGTTCTAAATAGGTATACAAGATTATATGCAGGCCAGATGGTACTGTAGAAAGATACAAGGCACGTTTGCTGGCAAAAGGATATAACCAGGTAGAGGGTGAAGACTTTTCAGAAGTATTCTCTCATGTAGCAAAGTCAGTGACTGTTAGAATGTTACTTGCTATTGGAATATCAAATTCTTGGTGTTTTTATCAAATGGATGTGAAAAATGCTTTTCTGCATGGATTTTTAGAAGAAGATGTGTACATGATTCCTCCACAGAGATATGGTAAAGCAATTCCAAGACATGTATGTAAACTAAGAAGTCACTCTATGGATTGAAACAAGCTTCAAGACAATGGAATCAAGAGTTCACTACTCAGCTGCAACAGTATGGTTTTACTCAATCTTATAATAATAATTGTCTATTTACCCTGAGCAGAGATGATTGTCTTTTGTTTCTCTTAGTATATGTAGATGACATACTATTGACTGGCAACAATGTTGATGAGATGATAAAGGTTAAGCAGTTTCTTGACTAGGCTTTTACTGTTAAATACCTAGGGGAAGCAAAATACTTCCTGGGAATGGAGTTCATCTATACTAAGGAGGGAATGTATATTTCAACAGTTAAAATATATTACAGACTTGCTCAGAGATGTTAGACTGTGTTCCAGCAACCACTCCTTTTCCAAGAGATCTCAAATTTGAATCCTTGGATAAAGATCATACACCCTTATTGACTGATCCAGAGAAGTACAGGAGGTTGATAGGGAGATTGCTTTATCTCAATTTCAGCCGACCTGACTTATTCAGTTCAACAGCTTAGCCAATTTGTGCATTCAACTCTTGAATCACATTGGTGTGCTGCAATGCATGTCTTGAAATATATGAGTGGTTGTATATCTACAAGTCTCTTCAATGCCAAGAAATTTTCTTTATCTTTGACAGCTTACAGTGATGCTGATATGGCATTTGTAAGTCTAGCAGGCATTCAATTACAGGATATTGCATCTTCTTGGGAAGCAATTTAATCTCATGGAAAGCTAAGAAACAGTCAACCATATCATGTTCTTCAGCTGAGGCAGAATACAGAGCTATGGATGCCACATTTAGGGAACTCCAATAGATTACATATCTTCTTCAAGATTTCAAAATTACTTTGAATTTGCCAATTTCTTTCTTCTGTGACAATCAGGCAGCCCTCTACATCACTACCAAACAAGTTTTTCATGAAAGGACAAAGCACTTGGAGGTGGATTGTCATGTTATACGTGACAAATACTAAGAAGGATTCATTCAACCTCAACATCTTGCTTCTTCTTCACAACTTACGGATATATTTACAAAATCTTTAGGGCCATCATAGTTTCACTTTATTCTGTCCAAGATGAGCTTGACACATGCTCATCTTCAAAGGGGGATGTTAGAATATCAGGACAAAAGAATTGATGCTGCAGTCACACATCTGGTGCAGGAGCATGGTCATCAGCCTGAGCTCGATCACACACGAGTGCCATCTTCAGTCACCGCCTTACATCAGCATCTTCTGGAAGTAGCCACAACAGAATGTGGTCCCAAAGCTCGGAAGCTTTTTGATGCTGCAAACTGTAATAGGCCACATCGAGAATGTTACTGGAAAACCAACTTGTCCAACTTGTACAGAAGCATTAACAGCCGTAAATTTATGAAGTATATTGTGTGATTAGTTATAGCCGTCGAATTAAAGTGTGTTAGTCATGTGTCTATAAATTTCAGTGTTTAGATTGATAAGTATAATTAGGACTCTATATATATATATATATATAAAAAAGAGAGAGCGAGAGAGATGATCCCAGGGAGATTTGTACAGAATATACGAACACACATCATTCAATACAAGAAAGCTTGTTCTTCAAGTTCTTGAAACCCTAGCATTTAATACACAATTTTGCTGCTCTTGATTCTTAATACTGCTATATGATGATTGATCTTGATTTTCTTTAGATTGGCATTGATGATCTTAGTTTCACGCTTCAAATGATTGAGTAACTCTCCGTAAGCATGTTGTTGATTCGATGAAGGAAATTCACAAAATGCAGATGAACTTGGGAAATGTAGATCTGAACCTCTTTACAAGATCTTCATTCTGGGAGGCGTTTTTAGATGAAGTCGAGACGTATTCTTTCTCTTTCTTTCTTTTCATTTTTCAGGATAAAAACCTCCTTACAAGATCTACATAAGTATGATTTATCATCACCTGTAATGATTAATGAGATCCATTTGATTGCGATTCATTCAAGGACGGGTTGGGTTTTAGTTACGTGTTAAAAATTTAGATAACATTTTGATAGATACGTGTCAAATTATAATAAAGTAATAATTTAAAGAGTGATGTAAAACTATGACATAGGAGATCTTCTTTCACCATGATTTATAAAGGTTATATTGTATGACTTACGTGTTACATCACTCTATATTGTATGACTTGAATAAGCCTTTTGTAAAAATTATTGGGGATATGTTCTATGTTTCCTTTTGCAGAGGTGTGCTTCAATAATTTTGTTACTTTTGCAGAATCTTCTGATGAGCTAGATGATACATTGTCAGAGGAAAACATCGATCAAGACTAAGCGAAGAGCAAACAGATTGCGATCAAGATTAAGACAAGAGCAAAGAGGTTGCGCTATGACGCTTGATCGCATGCTTTCTTCATTTTTTTCCAATGGGTTAAATCATTCATTGTGATTCATGTGATAAACATTTAAACGAAGACTTGCACATCAATCATTATGCAAAAATCGTAATTAGCTTTTACTATCGGGCATATTTGGGCTCTATCAAACAACTATCACTAGTTAAATTGAACTAGGGCGACTAGCCTAGGGATTGCCCTGGAGCACAACTGAACACTGTTGATTCCCATGTTTAATTTGTAATACTACCAACTGGTATTAGTCTGATGACATGGAATCCTGCACCTTGGTCTTTCCTTTGTGAGTTAATAGCTCATAATCAGTGTTCCTGATTTCTGAATACATTTTTCTCTTTGATTCTCATTCTTTCGAACATATGGTATAAAACTATAAATTTGACTTGACTGTAAAGGTTTTTTTCCCCTTTTATTTTTGGTTTGCTAATTATACTGCATCAAGTCTCAACTGTTTGGTTAGCAAGTACATAACAAACTCATTTTCCCACGGTCAATTAATCTTTTCTTTTTTGGTTAATAATATCATTACTGAAGGCTAATTGCCTTAATCATTACATAACGGGTAACCTAAGAGGTCGTTCTCCATGAACATAGAAATAAAGGAAGGATCAAAAAAAATATATGCCCCTTACGAGATTCCTAAAGCCTCTTTTGCAAGAGCGTCAGCGCAGAGGTTATCACGGAAAGTATGCATAAAGCATACTTCCCAATCACTTGCCAATTCAATGAATCTTTCCCGGCAAGTGTCGAAAGATGCACAATGTACCTAACCAATACGAAGAAATCCAGAAAACACAAGGGAAAAAAGGCTGGCAGTGTTGCACTATAATGGATTGTATTCGAAATTCTATTTCTATTTTAAAAACAAAAATAAAAATATATATAAAAAAAGGTCTCTATTACGACATGAGAATTGATTTCACTATAAGGACAAAGATTGCGTGATGATACAAAGAACATAAGACTAAGGACCCTCACTCAGGGGATGATAACCTAATGGAAAACAACAGTAAAGCCACATCATTCTACTATTCTTACAAATTGACTGTCTTTGTTTCTATTTCTGATATCCCTCCACCAAAAAAACACCTGCAATTGACCACAATTTTAGGCAAATAAGAGACCATACAAATCACAACATGAATACCCAGTGTCAGAGAGAAAGGGAGTCCTAACTTTTGACTAAGAATAACGTGCATGAAAACCAATACTTATGCGAACACTGGAGCAAAGTCATCAGATCTGCAATGGTATAAAGAATAACGTGCTTGAAAATTAATACACATGTGAACTCCGGAGAATAGCTATCAGAACTGCAATGTTGGAATACTTATCCTACAACTCTAAGATCCAAATCATTCAAAACAAAACCATACACACAACTGAAGAATGTATTTTGCCAGCATTCATTTAAGCCATAAATACAAGTATAATCCATCTTAAGAGCATTATCCAAGTCTTCTGTCTACCAAGATTTAAAAAATGTTGATCAGAAGAGGATAGATGAGAGATAAAAAGTGTAGTAGCCTACCAAATGTCAGCGTCTTGTTCTAGGCTTGCAACGGAATTCAGCTACAAGTGCTATATGATCAGAGGACCACTCTGGAGAAGGAAGTGCGGTATCTTTTCTCAAACTATCCTCATCCAAGAGTTCCAACAGAGATTCCACGGTTAACGAGTCCGCTGAAAAGGCAGGCATCCAAAAAAACAATTAGTTACAACAAAGTTCCACAAACCCCGGACCTCCCATGATAAGAAATAAGCATATACCCGAATAGAATATATAATCGTTTGTTCCAATGAAATCCCGGGTGCAGTTTGTAAATAAAGGTTCATTTGTGGTAGGATCCATTCTCCTCCTTTGTTGCTCCAAACCGAGACCAGCCCCGATTCTAGCAAACGACGAGTATGCACTAACCTGTATTATTTATGAATATCAATAACAAAAATGACGGCAATCGGTACATTAACTTTCATATGTAAGCCCTGAAAGGCTGCGTTTATGACTAATAACAAGAAGACACAAAATCACATACCAATGGCAGTTGATGTGTAAGTTTGGTGGGGGGGCGAAGGATTCCGAGAGGGTCAACAGCTAAATCTTGATGCATTGGATCAACTTTCCCCATGGCAAGAAGGGCATGCGGGGCACTACATCCAGTTCCAGAAAAAATGCCATAAATATAAGAATTTGCAAAAATACACAAGCGAATTATAACCTATACTGGAACTAAATTTTGATGAAATACAGTGCAATGCATCGGTGACCAACCTTCCAGGAACAGAATTAAAATCCCCACACACAAGCATAGGTATATCAGCACTTGCAGCAATTTTCTCCAATCCTTTTAACAAAGTGTGCACCTGATAGACAAGCGCAGCAATCTATCTTAAGAACAGTGTGAACATTTTTGTGTGTGTGTGTGTGTTGTGGGGGGTGGGGTGGGTGGGGGAGGAGAGAGAGAAAGGAAGGGAAGAGGAGAGCAATAAAACAAGTATTCCAAACCTGCCAAAGCTTGACATCCTTCAAATCCTGCTGAACGTTGACATGCGTATTAGCCTGTAAAATTAGAAGATAAATCAGTCACTAAGAATCTATAGGTGGGAAATAAAGGTGGATTAAGACATTTGATGACTGTTACTGTTAAAATGATGCCAATTTCAATCACTGAAGCACTGCCCTCCACCAGATTACATCCAGATTTCTTTTAAAGGCAATAAAAAACTTGCATAATAAGCAGGAGGACCAGCAGTATTTAATTACTTACCACACAAACAAGTTGTCGCTTTCCTGGATTTTCAAGGAGTCCCTGGTTATTAAACTTTGCTTCCAGAACCACTATGAGTGCAATGTTATCCTGTATGGAATATATGTATAAGTGAGATATCAGCATGCAGTTAAGATGAAATAATGAAAACGCACCAATTCACTACATGGAAAGAAAACTAAAAATGAGCAAGTGGTGCGGAGAGAAAAAGAGTTCATCAACAAAATCACCCCAGATTTAGCCAAAAACTAGATCTTTGTCCCTCAAAGATAAAATGATCCTGCCACTCTTAAGATGTAAAATTTCAGTCATTCATAGATCATCAGTTATATCTATTACCAAAAACCATTCAATTCTGGGAAGCCTTAAATATCTGATTCTCAGATCTTTTGAATTAAACTACAGGTGTTATTCACGTGAAGAAGATTTTGTCAGTGGGAAATCCTATTTAACTGCTACATGACTGAAAATTCAAATGTCCGAAGGACTAACTTTCACCAATTTCTAACCATTGAAACAGATGCTTTGTTAACTAAATCCTGCCAAGCATACTTAAATAAAAGTAAATAGCAGGGACAATATACAACACAACAGATATAGTATCAGAATTGGGAGACATCATACAAGTTTACTTCGTGCTCAAGGACAACATTAAGCAGAGCTCAGAGGTGACAAAAAACCAATTGGCGTACATTACCATTGAAGAAAAATAAAATACCTTTATTAGTCGACCCAGAGCCGTCTTTTTCTGAGCACTTGGAACCACAGCATCGGTCAATGATTGAGCTGCTTTGTTGAACTCAACCTGTACAAACACATGCGATAAGAAAACATCATTCAGCAGGGCCCAAAAGGGCATCGGAACATTATTCAGATTAGAACAGCTCCCACCTCGTATTTTTTGACATGTGAAAATCTATCTCGGCGGAAGAAAGTAGCACAACCATCAATCGCATTCATATTTCCATTAAAGACCTGCGGACCAACACCGCAAAAATTGTATGTAAGCGGGATGGAGGAAAAAAAAAGATAAACTAATTGCGACTTTATGCTTTGGCACACCTCAGCGGTTTTTCTTTTATACAGAGCTTGATAACCATGTTTGTCCAGCTCAGGAGCAAAGAATTCCTCAAAATGATCACTTTGAACCTGCATACAGAAAGAAAAATATATAAACGAATTCCAAAATTCGTTTGAAATTGTGCATTATTTATCCATAGTACATTTTGGGTGTAAGTCGGTTATCACGGCCAATAAAAAATGGTAAAACTTCAAGAAGCCGAACACAAACTGATATGAACAACAATAAGAAGTGTTCCTTAACCATGTAAAGAGTATTATCAGTTCACCCAAAAAAAAGGTTTACCAAAAAGAAATAGCATTATCCTAAACTGGATCTATTTCTAATCTGCAAATGCTTGCAAAAATGAAAATTCACAAGAATAAAACATAGTCTCTGTAACAATGCCAAAGGAAATAAAAGAAAACGGATACAACGACACAGTTCATGTAAATAAAATTCATCATAAAGATAGTATAGGAAAATCTAAGAGGGCATCATTATTAAATTTAGTACGTACCTCTTGGAGACAAACAATATCAGCATGGTAACCAACAATTTCGCGTAAAAGATTCTGCCGCCGGTAAGTCCAAGAAAGTGCCCAAGAAGGACAGTAGGTGTATAAATCATTCGAAGCATACGAGTCCGACAAAATATTGTACGACAGCACAGTAAAAGTCCCGACTGAAGAAAGGCGACCATCCAAATCCAGATGCCCCGGAATATCAACTCCACTAACCGAAATTAAGCGACGAGGAGTAGGAGATGGGGCCGGAATTACACGAGAAGTATTCAACGTACTGGAATGCCCAACCTGTTGTTTCGTCTCAGCATCAATTACAACACATTCAAACTTAAGAACGTGCCCAATATCATCGGCTGTCGGCGTGTAAGTTTTGTTACGCCCTACTTCAAACCACGTCTCACCACCTCTCTGTGTTATTGTTGTGGGATACACAGGTGCAGCATTTGCCTGCGAGCTGGCCAAGTTTGTTACACCAGAACCCGTGCTATTGAAGCGCCCAAAAATTTCTTCTTCCTCATTCCCATTTTCGTTAACCGCACTTGCTGCACGTTCATGCAACGCGCGATGATGTTGCCAAGCATCCGAAAAACATTTAGGAGAACAATGGTAACTCTTCAAAACAGGTATTTTCGCTTTGACACACCCAAGGCACTGTAATGTTGCTTGTTCAGATGGATGAACACTGCAGATAGCAACCTTTTTATCACTTTGTATACGATACCTGCAAAGACAGCCAACGAATCAGTCGCTGCACAGAAAAATTAAACACAGCAGAATGCTTAATTAGAAAATATATCGACAGATATGACTGATAAGTCAATTATAGAAGCCACATTCATTGTTTTCCACGAATGAATCATACACTGGATAAGAATTCATTTACAAGACATGGAAGTCACACAACCAGAAAGCATCATTACCAAAGCAAACAATGCAGAGTAGACAAAATCTAGGGATTCAAATTCAACATCATGGAACAAATCCAAATAAAAAATGGGACTCTGATGACTAAAATTAAAAATAAAAAATAAAAATTCACACACACACAATGAAGTTATTGTTATTAGATGGGCGTCCTTGAAACACATAAAATCTAATTAATCATTTAAGGAATTAATAATTAGATGGGTGTCCTTGGGAACAAATAAAAGCTAATTAATCATTTAAAGAATTAATAAAGGCTACGGTAAAGAAGAGTAACACAAATATATTGCAACAAATCACCTCATGTAACAACATTAATGATGTCAGGTTCAATACCGCAACAATTATAAATTAGCCGAGAAACCTACTCCAAGTTAAAGCCAGGTGGCCAGGCAGACCTGATTCATGCAGTGTTAAAATAATTGCCAGTAGAATGTAACGGCTTAAAGTGGTTACTTTTTCACTAGGTCTGCCAGTAACAGTTGACAAACTACCCTGCCACATGGACTTACCACCAATATTGACAGCACTCATGACCTCAGTTCCCATTATTAAGATAATGCTAAAAAAGAAAACGATGAGGATAAGCAACCGAAGAAGGACGAAAGAAAACCACGTGTTAGGAGACAGCAAAAGTGCCGAAAAGGAAAAGAACATAACCGGTGAAATCATGAACTAAACAAATTTAAAAGGCTGAAATGCATTAAATATGAGGCCGTTAAAAAAGGTAAATAAAAGATTTGGGGGAAAAGAAAAAAGAAACAAAGTGCCCCTATAAAGTCTATAGAAAGTTTTAAAACATATTCCTACAGCCGTTATCTCCAATTCACATCGCAACACGTATACACAACGCCTATTTTGTACTTTTTTGTACTCTACGCTACTGATTTGCGGTTATTAGGCCATACCATCGTCAATTACCATGGCACAAGCAAAAGCAGAAACAAACTTAAATAAAACCCAGTCTACTTCTGCATGTTCAAAAAACAGAAAAATTCGATGACAGCCGGAAAAAAAAAATCACTCATAAACATGAGTTCAAAGTACAAACCAAACGGTCCGAAACTTTGCAGATAAGGAAACTACACTTTGCGAGTCTAGTCATCAGAGAGCATTAGTGAAACTCAAATAAAATATCCACACAATAATTTAATCAGCAAGTTAAACATAAAAACATCATCTTGGTGGAGAAAACTACAATGAGAGAACTCCAAACATGAACCACATATAAATAAACAATAATTACCAACAGCAAGATAAAACAAAAGCCATCCTGTCAACTGTAAGAATAATTAAAACCGGACCAGCCATACAATAATGTTTTAAAACAGAGGGGGGAAAAGGGTAGAAAATCATCCAAATATGCTTTCAAAATCACTCTTCATAAATTGCACGAGAAAAGGGATAATTACGCCTTTTTATTTACTCAACATCATTCACTCTCTCAATTCATTATTTTTTGATATAATTAACCATAACAGGAAATTGCTAAAAACCCAATAAATCAAACAATCCGCATCAAAACCGGGGAAAATAAAAATCAATTGATTAGCAGTTGAAAGGAAAAAAGAAAAAGAAAAAAACTGAAGCTGCAAAAAGTACAAAGTCACAGGCTTATTATGAATAGCACCGTTAGTCTGAACAACCAAAGAAACCCTTATTTGAAGAGGCCAATACTGATCTCAGGCCAACGTCAAATAAAACCAAACTATCAATTGTAACAATGAAACCTAAACAGCCATACCATTTCAGATAAAAACAAAAAAACCAACCTTGAACAGCAAGTCAAAGTTAATAAAAACCAAATCTATGCAATCAAAGAAGAGAAGGGAAAAAAAGAGAGACAAAAGAACTCAGGAACTGGGAACCAAAGAAAATCTTGATAATGGTTAAACAATCCTTAACCCCAACACCAAAAGAGGGGGAGAAAAAAAAACCAGCAACACCAATAAAAAGTTACATGCATGAACTGAATCGAGGAAATTAAAAACAAATTCAAAAACAGGAAAAAAACAAACAAACAAGAATTGCTGGTAAAGAGGATGTGAAGCTTAATACCATTTATATCTCAAGAAGTGGCCATCGAGAGGGGAAGACTCCGGAATATCATCAGTGAAAACGGACTTATCAGGACGCTTAACGAGAACATAAGGAGTGAGCTCACAGCCCACAATAGGAATGTCGGAAGGAAGGTGCACTCTAAGCACACTCAGCATTCTTCTGCAGCAACTCCTACTCCAAAATTTTCACAATTACAAAACCCTTTTATTACCAGCACTACTACTTCCGAAGACAATGATCCAACGGCGGCGGTAAAGGCAGTCGATTGTAGTTGCTGGCGCCGATCATCTGCCATTCAGCTATAATAACAACCACCCTCCGGCAAGAATCGCCAGCCTTACTAACCCAACAAAAAATCCCCAAATGCCCGCGCGAAAACCCTAGAAATGAGGCCAATCTGGAACAATTACGCTAAAAACGAAAATTAAATGAATGAATAAGAGAAATAAGAATCCCGCGGGGTCAAAGCTGTTAAACGGGAAGGGAACAGTTCAAAGCGGCGGCGGAGGAGGAGGAGCGGGAGAATGATTGTACGGAAGCAGCATCGATCGATTTTTGCAAAAAAAAAAAATGGGTGTAGTGAAAAGAAGAACAAAAAAGGGAGACGACGATGATAATATTTTAATAATTTATTATCTTGTGTTCTTGATTTAGGGTTTTACTTACAGAGGTTCGAAGAAAGAGGGGAGAATGAAGAGAGAGAAAAAGAGAGGGATTATATTGGGGGAGAAAGAGGGAGAAAGAGATGAAAGTGACACGTAAGATTTTAGTCGTCACTTTTACGTACGTGTAATAATGAAATTAGATTACACTGTAATCTTTCCGAACCGAAAAAAAAAATCCCAATCAGTAAATTCTTTATTATTTTTTATTTTCTTTAAGGTATCAATAAAAAAATTTTACTGAATTTTCATTTCTTTTTTCTAACTTCATTTTGATTTATGATAATAGTTGCAAAATTGTCGATTCAAATTTTATCATTGAGTTGTGAATTCCAGCTTTAACATCCTAAAATCATACTGTTTTTATAATATTTTGTCATCAACAATAAATATGTTCAATGAATTAACGTCAAATTTAACATTGTAACGCCTGAAAATCAATATAAACTCTAACCACGATAGAAGATTGACATTTTGAGATCAAATTTGATAACCACCCACTTTTATATCAAACGGGCATCTACCAGAATTGTAAGTCTATACATGATGTAGCACGGAGAGTCATCGGGAAGAGGACATTTGTAATATCCTCCAAAATAAAGATTACCTAAATAATGAAAGACATTTTTTCCTCAAAAAAAATAAAAATAAAAATAATAGTAATTATGAAAGACATTTTGGAATGGGCCATTTTCTTAGAACTGTAGGTTAATCCATATGATTTAGCCCATTTTGTCAAGAACTTGACGTAGATGTCGCCCATTAACGACAAACTAACCATAAACAAGGTAACTACAGACTACACATTGGGGGATGGGGAGGGAGATGGATTTTCTGACAAATGTATACGTTAGCGGCCACCGAGCTAACTCCAGTGATTAAAGATGAAACATCATCATTATTCCAAACAACACATAATTCTTTTTCCTCAAGAAAAATAGTTCAACATATCATAGTAAAGTTACCGTTCCCAGCTCGGAAACATTTTGGTGTACCACGTTAGGGTTCTCGCTTGGAAACTTGGAACCAATATTGGTTGGACAGTACAATCATGAATCATTGCCGGATAAGTAACAAACGCATCTGTTTTTAAGGACGAAATTTGAGAGTACTTCATCAATGCCTCATTCATTCAGAGTTGAAACTCAAATTTATCTCATCAAATTAGCCCAATTGCACCTTTTTGTAAAATCATGTTACACACGCAGATATAACCTTGAAATCACTTCCAGACTTCCAGTTAGAGAGTCAATCCACACATATATCATAAATTTTCAGTATTCATGGATCACATACTGCTGCTACTCCAATCATGGTGAAATACAGCTTGATGACCTCTCAACAATATAAAAGAAGGATGAAAGTTGAGGTCAATAGTTAGATTGTTTTAGAGCTGAGAGTTGAAATCAGTGCTCTCTTTAGTCTTTGCAACCTGAAGTTGGTTTGAAGTTGTGTTCTACTGCACTAGACCAATAAACTAGTTGTAAAAGAACAGGCAACCCTTTATGGGTTGGGTTGTATGAAGACACAACCCATGGAAAGAGATTTGACAAGTTTATGGAATTGTCTGACTACAATACCATCCATTTCTCCGAATTAATATCTATATTCACAGAGAATGACACACAGCAATACTGCAATGTAAAAAGAAAACCACGCACACTTCTGTCAATTAGAATGCTCTAAAGAGACAAAAAGAAGGTATTGCATTTCACAAAGATGCAGACACATGGATACAACTTGACTAGAAGTACAGAACCCTCAATACCACCAATGCAGACACATGGATACAACTTGACTAGAAGTATAGAACCCTCAATACCACCAAACCACCAACAACAGGTGCTACACCAAAATTAAAATACCATTACTTTCTCATTCATTCGACACAAATAACTATCAGTTATAAGAACAGACTAACAGAACAAACTAAATCAATGTCGGGGGAGTAATTAACAGATATTCATAACCTCAATAAGTATCCGCTTCGAACAAAGACAAAATCGCAAGTCCTCAAAAACAGTTTCTCAATAATAGAACACTACAAAATAGCCTAATAACCTCCCTTGAGATCATTAACGACATCATATGGAATGGGGGTAACAGTCTCCAATGTTGCACCTTCCACCATGAAACCAGGCTTTGGGCCTTCTGGCTGCCTCTTGGTACTGATGATCTCGCCTCTTGCCTTGGCAGCTGCCTTCAATTCATCATTTCTCTTAATCCTGTGCTTGATTTCCTCATTGCATCTAGAGGGCATAACATGTTCCACACGAACATGAATCCTCTTCCTGATTATCCTGTTACCGACCTGGATATAGAACAAAAGAAGAAGAAAAAAAAAGTTCAGCTCCAAAGGCAATTAAAATCATAGAATATCAGCATGTGTGTAAAATCTGTAAAAGCCAACAAGAAGAAATTGCAATGGAAGTGCCATCTTATCTTGATCATAAAGTCACACTCTCCAAATATATAGCAGATAAAAAGCAATTGTTCATTCCAGGAATGGAAAATTACTAAAACCAATATTTATCAAGCAATATTGGCTAAATTATCCAGCTAGTAGAAGCAAAATCTGAGCTAATAACTACAGAACCTGGTATTCGTCGAACTAATCTCTTCAATGAACGACCCTCAAAAACAGATAAACCTACCATAATTGGTTAACATACTTCCTAGTTGGGGCTAACCCAAGGATTACTGCACTTCATCAAGAAAATGGATTCAATCTACCAGGATTTAGCACAGAACGGTACCATAAACTCAACTTTTTAGGGCCCAATTAACAGCAAAATTAGAATAGTAAAGCACTTCTATAAAACAGCCATTTCTTCGAAATACATAGCTAAACAATAACTAATCGAACAAGCAAACCTTAACAACATCAATTACCGCCTAAAGAACAAAAACCATAAACCCTAAACCCAACTAAAAAGAAAATACGAAGAACGAAATTTGTTTTAGCTAGACCTGTTTGTTGACTTCAACGCCGACGGCGCGCTTGGTGACGTTCCAGATGCGACCGGTGCGTCCGTGGTAGTACTTGTGAGGCATACCCTTGTGGACGGCGCCGTTAACCTTAATGTCGACATACTGCCCGGTTTTGAAGGTACGGAGGTAGGTAGTCAAGGGGATGGTACCGCGCTTTCTGAAACCCCTAGAGAACGAGTCGCGGGTCCTTGCCCTAACCCCGTGTCCGGCCGGCATGTTTTACCTGATCTGCTTCCCCTCCGCCGCCGCCGCTGCTGTGTGAGTGTATGTAAAAATGGGAGGAAACGGTTAGAGAGAGAGGCGGTGTTCTGTAAATATATTACGAGGCAGGATTTTTAGGGTTTTTTGTTGGGAGGGAGGAGATAATGGGCTTTTAGAATAATACATTGTTGGGCCGATTTAAAACAAATGGCCTTAAGATCCAAAGTGAATTAGTTAGTCTGATTGGTTGACGCTAATGGGCTATGATTGTGGATTGAGTACGTGTATTTTGGGTTTTCCGGCCCAATTTAATTAAAACTGAAACAATCTATATCTAAGTAATGTAAAGGGCGAGTTCACCGGTCAGCGCCAGTTTGTGTTCCGCGGCCGGTCGGTCAAGGACATGTGGCGAGGCTGAACCCGATGAACTCCTCATACCTGTCATTCTTCACCGCTTCTCTCCGATTTGTCTCCATCATCTTCTCTATCGTTCTCGTACATTCATAGATCTCGACTCAATGAATAGCCAGATTCATGAAACCTAATTGTTCCATTAATCTTCGCTTCTTCTACAAAATTGTTTTCTTACAAAATCTCATTGATCTTTTTCCGGTCTACAGAAAGGATTAAAACTTGTCCACATCTGCTGTTGAGAAAAAGAAATCCTACTCCTCTTTTTCCATTCTATCTATCTGCAATCGGAGAGTATTTGGATTTTTTTTTGTAGAACACTGAATCTATCTAAGGTGGGATTGCATCCATGTTCTTTATTGCCTGACTTTATGTTCTTTATCGGAAACCTCTAGACTTATATCACATTCGATTGCAATTGAATTGATTGTTTTCTGTTTATCTTCCGTAAGCATTGGATAATTTGATTTTGAAGGTAGGACAAGTGGATTTTTTAGTCCTCCTATGTAATGCCTTAATCTTAGATCATTTTACTTGAGTCCAGATTTCGGTCACCAAAAATGGATTGTGCTGGTTGATATAATAGGGGGAATTTGGGGAAAAACTTACCGTGATGAGCAATTGGTTTCAATTTGCTGTAAAATTGTAGTTTTTCATGTTTTAAAGTCTAGTTTTGATTCGCTTTAAATTGGACAAGTAGAGAACAACATCATGTTGTTGTTTGTGGCTACTAAAGAAAATCACATGTATCCCCAGTTTGAATGTTTAATATGCATTGAAGGTGTTTGTTTTGTTGTGAGTGTGCCTGCTACATATTTCATACAAGTTTGGAATTGGGCACTAGAATATATGCATTTTCCTACCTTTAGTCAATCTTTGTGTTCAAAGACCATTTTTCTTATGTTGTAATTGACCACATCTACCCTTGATCCCAAATTAAAAAATCATACTTTGACTTTAATGTGTTAAACATCTCTGGTTTGTTTCTGTCTGAAGTGAAGCTATGTTCTCTACTGTAAAACTTCTATATTCCTTGGTATCTTTAGGTTTTCCAAGTTTCTACAAAGTGGATTCATGTTTCAAAATTTTTTGACCTTTTAAGAACACAGATTTTTTACCTTTTAAGGAACAAAAATATGCTCGAACGTATGACAACAAAGGTACTTAGTGGTATACATTATGAGTAAGGTTTTTCCATTTAACTGCAGTCCAAAGAGGACAGTTAATTAGTTTCTTTGTATATATCTATGTTAGTGCAATAGATGCAAGGATGAGGTAGCGAGAAAAAAATTCATTACAAATGCAGTAAAGTTACTGACCGACTGTAGGTGTATGATAATTGGAAGTCTACCGGTTAGAGGATGGGATGAAATGGGATGAAAAAATAACTGTTAGAATACACATTAGCATGGACATATTGAATTGCAAGAATTTTTCTCGAGTCTTGGATGATTTATATTCTCTGCAGGGGACCTGTCATATATCACATGAACTGCATCGGGACAGTAATGGGATAAATGTTGAAAAACACCTTTAACTTTTATTTTTGAACACATGGTTATGATAGCATCTAATCATTGTGAGTTGGTTTACTATCTTAAGCCTATGCATATGTCTTTTAACAATCGGATAAGGTATCTAACAGGATTACTATCTTTGTTGGATGTCACCTCAGGAATCCCCTGTCTTGAACGTTATTATAAGTGATTCCTGCATAGTCTCCACTATTTCTGATGGGGAGCGAAAATTGTCTCGAACGTATGACAACAAAGGGACTTGTTGGTATACAATATGAGCAAAGTTTTTCCTTTTAGCTACAATATAAGGAAGACATGTAATTAATTTCTTTGTACATATGTATGTTAGCGCAATGTATACAAAGATGAAGAGGAGTGCAATTCTGTTGCAAATACAGCAAAGTTGCTGACGTACTGTGGGTGTATGGCAATAGTAGCTGAATTGGAAGATATTTTATCTCCCTATTGTTGAACCCCCTGCATGAAAAAAAAAAAAACCAGACTTATCTGTAAGCCATCTACGATGTAGTGTCATCAACATCATTAGTTCACTTGGAAAAAGTGAATTCTAATTGATCATTATGTCATTATTTTCCTGGCTATTTGTTATGCCTGTTGATTTCATTCATAGTTTCTTATTGTCAATAGATAATATTCATGATTTTGTTTCAGGTTTGATCAGAGCACCAATACCATCGCAAGCCCATTTGGTGAGAAATCTAGCTTTCGGGATTTCCATATCTCTTCAATGTCAGCTCAACGCAGGATTTCAAGCATATCAGTAAGTGTACTTTCTCTAAAACCATCTTCCTGTCCACATGGAATGATATTTGAAGATGTTCTTCCTTCTGTTCGTTTTTACTTTTACGTCTCCAATAAATTCTTATATTGAACTTATCAATATCTGAGGATGGCAGAAATAGTTTAGATGCTATCCACTTTGCATGATATGATGTCTTTAATCTTTTTTTTTTTCTTTATTTTGCGTTGCAAATTTCTGTAAACCCTACTTTAGTCAGTAGAGTTTCCAAGCTGCCTACTACAAACTTACCTCTTGGCCGCATTAGGCTTTTATTTGGCAAATACAAGCCAAACAATGGTGACCAAAAGATGAGATTTATGATGCTCTGTGAAGTAACAACCTTACATTTAGGATATATCAAGCTACACTTTCATTACTCCAAAGCATCCGAGGGATTGAGTTCTAGATCCCATGGAGGAAGGAGCACAGGAAATAAAATAAAGTAAATCACCTCCAAAGGAGTTCGAATTTGAGTCTGGTAAGTTTAATTCATGATTGTTCCCAGGATAAACTTATTTTTAAATTTATATTTGTTCTTTGGTTATGTTTTGTTTCCACATTTCCAACTTCCCACTTAGAGCAGTAGGAAATTCCCATGATAGCAACACCAGGAAACATGGCTTAGGCTCATCAACTGAGTACAAGATAAATAGCAAAGAACCTTAGGTAGCTTCTACTAAGGATGGAGAGTTTCAGAATACCACAAGGAATCAAACCGATAAGGTTTTAAATCCAAACAAAAATGCTACTGGTGTTGAAGAAATGGTGCCAAAGATATAATCTCTGGACTACTATGTACATTAACATTTCCAGAGCACTTAACTTGATTAAACATTTAAATATTGACATGTAATTGTGCAGAATCACTGGCCTCTCCTGTTCAGATACGTGGAAAACATATATGTTTACCTTTTTGCTTCTATTGAATGTAAAATTAACTTTTTACTTTTTCTTCCTCTTAAAACGTATCTTTATGTTCTATTCATTTCTCTTTAAATCATATAAATGTGTCAATTATCTTAACCACTTTTTACTTGCAATCACTCAAAACAAAGGAAAAAATGAAGGCCCAAACTACCAGGCTACAATTCACATTACGCTGCACAAGCCTCCCTTCCTCGTATTTATATTAAAGTTGGCCACTTTTAAGTCATCTTGTGAAGCCACATCATCCATCCTACATGTCATTTTCTCCTTTTTTTTGGATTACTTCAAGATTAATTACCTAGAGTAACGGTAGTTACTTTGATATACCAATTAGTAATGAATTAATAATTTACCAATTAGTAATGATTTAATGAACGGAATTCATTCCAAAAAAAACTACACCATTAAATTAATTAGCCTACTTTCAGTTACTATATGGGAAAATATACGGCATAATCAATTTGTTCACTATTATTATTAATATCCATTAATACCCCACAAAGCTTACTGGAGAAGTGAACTGTACTATAAAATCATATGTGATGAAGTTGGTCATTTCAACTTCGACAGCACACTCTTTAAATATTTTAATCAAGTTTGGAGTTTGCAGTAATTGGATACGACCAAATTGTCGTCGTACCCCACGATTTTTGGGACGGGTAAGGTTTTACTTGTCTATTACCGGGGTAACTAGGATACCTGGGGACCGCTTTGTGTATCTACTGAGTTTGCTGCCTGGCAGGGTAGGGGGACGGGTTAGCGTTAAGGAAAGGTTGTCGGCTTAGCGGCTGGTCCCTGTGAGAGGACCCGAGGAACCCGTAGCACCCACGGGGATGGTCATGTGGGACTAGCGCGCGGATAAGCACACAACTGGTTGGGGGCTAATGGCGCTCCCCTGATGAGCCTGGGGCAGGGTGAAACCAGTAGGCTACGCGGGTGTAGGCTGATCTCACAGAAGAAACAGGGAGACCCTGGGGATGCCGCACGAGCGGCTGCGAGAGCTGTCGGGCGAGCCCGTGACAAGTAGTATCAGAGCCATCGTCCGAGAGAGCTGTGTGCCTCCGTTGGGAAAAGCTCGAGGGTATCACCTGGAGGATGGGTGCGCATGACCTGGAGGATCGGTGCGTGCGGAGCACAGAGGCGCCGTGCCGAGGAAAAGGAGCTGAACATGCATTGCCGCCTGAAGAAGGGGTGGATGCTTGGCGCAGAGGCGCTAGAGGGCACAGCAGATGGCATGCGATCTTGGGGCGAGTCGTTTTTATACCCACCTAGCACGAGGGCGTGCTAGAAGTTAAGTGGGGGAGATCTATTATAGGGGTAACTAGGATACCTGTGGACCGGTTTGCGTACCTACTGAGTTTGCTGCCTGGCAGGGCAGGGGGACGAGTTAGCGTTAAGGAAAGGTTGTCGGCTTAGCGGCTGGTCCCTGCGAGAGGATCCGAGGAACCTGTAGCACCCGCGTGGATGG